CTGGCACACGCTATCCGTCAGGCCCGATGGACAGCGTGAGCCAGCTAAGGGCAGCTGCTCCGCGTGGCCTACTCGCGCGTAAAAAACACCTCGCGAGGTGCTTTACTTGCAAGTAGGCCACGCGGGGCTGCTCCTTCCTTGGCAGGCTCACGCTGCCCATCGGGCCCAATGGGCAGCGTGAGCCAGCCAAGGGAGGCTGCCCCGGCGCTCCATGCAGTCATGCCGGCCACATGACCTTGGAGGTGTCTACGGACAACGCCGGCTCTTCGACTTAGAAATGCAGATGAGCACCACACCCCAGAGTCAGACATGACTGGACTTCATGTCAGAGGAAAACCTTTAACTAGGAAAATTGTGGAAGATCCAGGGTGGGAGAAAGAACTCTTGTCTGTTGGAGGTAGGTATGAATGTTTCAATTGGGCCACCTTGATTACCATTTCATAGCCTGACAGTTTTTAGGGAGAATCCTTTGTTGAGAGGTGATTAGCTGGCCCTGATTGTTTCTTGTCTGGAGTTCCCGTGTTTGAGTGTTGTTCTTTATTTACAGTTTTTTTTAGAGTTTTTTTTAATACTGGTAGCCAGATTTTGTTCAGACTAGGAATAGGAAGATTTCCCATTCTCTGCTCCTAGAATTACTGCCTAAAGAGGGCTAGAAAGAACCCCCTCTAAGGGCCCTTCCACACAGCAAAATAAGATATGTGCAATGTGCATAGGAATTTTTTAATTGATTTTTTTAAAAAAAAAAAACCTATAGTCCGGCCCTCCATCTATCTGAGGGACAGTAAACTGGCCCCCGGTTTAAAAAGTTTGAGGACCCCTGCCTTAGAGGATAATTTCCAGTGAAAGTGGATAGAAATGACTGAGACGGACAAGTGATTTTACTGTATAATGCAGCTTTATTTGAGAAGTCATCTCTGGTAAACAAGACTTCAAGTCAAAGTTGTGCCCTTCTTAAGTTTGCAGACGACACCAAATTGGGAGGGATAGCCAATAGTCCAGAGGACAGGAGCAGAATTCAAAACGATCTTTACAGATTAGAGAGATGGGCCAAAACTAACAAAATGAAGTTCAACAGTGACAAATGCAAGATACTCCACTTTGGCAGAAAAAATGAAATGCAAAGATACAGAATGGGGGACGCCTGGCTCGAGAGCAGTACGTGTGAAAAAGATCTTGGAGTCCTCGTGGACAATAAGTTAAACATGAGCCAACAATGTGATGTGGTGGCAAAAAAAGCCAATGGGATTTTGGCCTGCATCAATAGGAGCATAGTGTCTAGATCTAAGGAAGTAATGCTACCCTCTATTCTGCTTTGGTTAGACCACTTTACCTGGAATATTGTGTCCAATTCTGGGCCCCACAATTGAAGAGAGATATTGACAAGCTGGAATGTGTCCAGAGGAGAGCGACTAAAATGATCAAGGGTCTGGAGAACAAGCCCTATGAGGAGGCTTAAGGAGCTGGGCATGTTTAGCCTGAAGAAGAGAAGGCTGAGAGGAGATATGATAGCCATGTATAAATATGTGAGAGGAAGTCAGAGGGAGGAGGGAGCAAGCTTGTTTTCCTTCCCTGGAGACTAGGATATGGAACAATGGCTTCAAACTACAAGAAGGAGATTCCATCTGAACATTAGGAAGAACTTCCTGACTGTGAATGCAGTTCAGCAGTGAAACTCCTGAAGGCTGCTAAAGTGGGCTCCTTCTTTGGAAGCTTTTAAACAGAGGCTGGATGGCCATCTGTCAGGGGTGATTTGAATGCAATATTCCTGCTTCTTGGCAGGGGGTTGGACTGGATGGCCCATGAGGTCTCTTCCAACTCTTTGATTCTATGATTCTATGATTCTATGATTAAGAGCAAAAGGAAAAGACGTTCTGTCTCACCAAAGAGGAACTCTAGACAAATTAACCAGCAAAATGAAAAGGAGTTCCTTAGCACTGTGACAACTAAATATATTGTGACATTTTGTACATTTGACAAAGAAAGCTCTGGGTCATGGAAGCTTCTGCTACAATAAATGTGTTAGTGTTTATGGCAACACAGGACTCTCTGATGTTTTGCTGCCTGCTGCAGACTAACATGGCTTACCCTCTGGAATGTAGACCCTATTAATCTGATTGGCAACATGTGTATGAGGAAACAGAGCAAGTTCTTCTTAACACACTGAACAGTTTACTGATGGAATTTGTTGTTACAGGAAATTGTGAGTGCCTGCCGATGCTATTCAGAATTTCAAAAAAACAGTATTCTACCCCCTTCCCACTGGCATGTGTTACAAATTGTCATACTTGAATCCATAATTTCTCACCTTATATGTAAAAACATAGCTGTATGACTCTCAGAACTGCAAAAGCCATCATGAAAAACAGGATAACTACATTGCTCAGTTTGATCAAATTATGCAAAAGCAAAGAATAAACCCTGGGCTTTCATGCAGTAGGGAAGGTGTGTCCCCTGCCAAATGTTATGCGATTTCAAGTCTCATTAGCACTAGACAACATAACAAGTGGTGAAGGATGGTGGGAGGTGTAGTCTAGCAACATCTGCATGGCTACAGATGTTGCTGGGCAGCAAAGCGACCTGTAAGTTAGCTTATCTCATCTTTTTTTCTAGTCTTCTGTATAATGAAGTAAATATTGTATATATTCATGTATAAGTTAACCTCATATATGTCAAGGGCAGGTTTTGGAGCTAAAAATATAGATTTTTATTTGGCCTGTGGATAAATTAAAGTTAATTCTGCAGAAAGGGGGAAGCCTCTGATTTGCACTGATTTGCTGTACTCTTCCTTTGAGGTGAAGGGCCAAAGAGTCTCTGCCATGGTCATTTCTCTACCCAGGCATTCAAAAAGAAAGTGGGAACTTGATGGAGAGAGTTGAGGAAGTTGGTGCTTCCTTTAGGTCCTCTCAGGATAGACTAAGTTCTTGCCTTTTGTGACTCCACTCTGAGAATGCAATGGTTTCTTTTGTAATAAGAGTTTAGGCCAGTACTTAAATGACCCATGAGTAAGTTTATCCTGAATTTTTGGGTTGCTTTTTTGACTAAAATTTCTATATATGCACATGGGTTTATACAGTACTTCTCAAGCAATTCCCAATTCATCTATCTATCTATCTATCTATCTATCTATCTATCTATCTATCTATCTATCTTGGAATTAGGAATTTCTTGAGAAGCACTGTTTATTGAATTTTGACCAATCCTGTAATATGTGTGCTTTTCTTGTATTTTCTGGATGTGTGGTATGTGTGCTTTATTGAATGGTTAACCTGATTAACTCCTACTTTCTTCTTGTGGCGCAAAGGTTTTCAGCTTGTGGTTGCTCTGTGGGTAGTTAATATGCAGAAGATCATGTCTTCTGGCAAGGATTCACTTTGATGCTTTTATTATCATTTTGCATTCCTTGGCTGAGGTGTAAATTCTATGAACACAGTAATCGACCTTGTACTGAAAGCAAGCAACGTCTATACTATCAACTGGAGCAAGCAAAGTTAGAGCTCTTTTTTTTTTTTTGCAGTCTCCCAAGCTTCACTGATTAGTGTCATTAGGAAAAGACACACTTATTATTGTTAGATGCCTTCAAGTGAACCCATACTCATAGCAACCCTATCCTACGGTTTTCTATGCAAGGTTTATTCAGAGGTTTGCCATTGCCTTCTTCGAAGGCTGAGAGAGAGTGCCCAAGATCATCCGGTAGGTTTCTATGGCTGAGTAGGGGCTTGAATCCTGATTTCTCAGAGTCCTAGTCCAACACAAAAACTACTACACCATGCTAGTTGCTCTAGATGGCACATACCTGTATTGAAGAACAAGAAACCCCTGAACACTTCCTGAGATTTTGTTTTCAGTGCTAGAGCTGACCTAAACTTTATTCATCTTCCTTCATTTCAATACATTAATATAGGGCGTGGGTGTGTGTATTTTGCTGGAATGTAACTGATTTTGACACTACTACTATTAGGAAGAGATTAGGTCATCTACCTGCAGACCCCCCCCCCCCCCCCAAAAAAAAAAAAAGCCTACTCCAGAGGATCAAAACTTCTGAAGCAGGTTTTCATGCTGTGTGTTAATCTGTAGTAGGGGTGCAGTGAATTCATATTGATCTGATGGATAACTGAGAAAGGATTTGGGCCTTTGAAGTCAAAACCTTACCTCTCAGCAGAGAATCACTGAGTCACCAGCCCAATTGATCCCAGTTGACCTTCTGTCCACTCCTGCTTGCTGACTTTAACCATATGTTCTGTGAGCTTTGCACCTGTGTTTTTTAAAAGCATGAATTGCACCACGGTGGGTGGATGAGAGTTAATTTGAAACAAATCTTTATCAGAAATTCTGGCTAATTGTGGGGAGAGAGATCTTGTGCTCTTATTGTGAACTTCCATGTGAGGTATAAATAGGAAAAGAGGTAAATGCTGAACTCAGTGGACTGTTGATTGATCATGACCTAGCATAAGTATCCTGATTATCTTTTACTTGCGTTGAATTTCTGGTAATTTCCAACTCTGCAGTAGGAGTTTTTATTAAACTGTACCTAAAGATTTTAAGTAGAGGTCAAGTGTAAAATATTTTTATCTGGTTAATATTTCACTGTGAATTGCTAAGAGTAGATGATATATTTTACAAAAAAGTGTTTAACTCTCACATTTTAGTAACAACCAATGTTTCAGCTGCATGCTTCTGCTGTCTTAGAAGCTGGTTGAACACAGTGGTCTTACCTTTGAAATAACACAGCAAGAAGGAATTTCAAACATGGCTGACAGCTCTCTTTCCCAAAGTGACAGGTAGAACTGTAGAGAGTAAAACAAAAAGGTACTGTTTTATTATTTTTAGCATGCAATGTATACTGTCCCTGAGGATTAATGCTCTGAGTTTTTCTTGCTGGCACAGATACTGATAAACAATAGAGGCTGACTGTTGCTAGGATAGTAGTAAACCTGGGAAGGCTGCACCCAGCAGTGGTGCTGCATTTGTCCACTAATTTCTTCTGTGTTTTTGTGTTTCAGTGATCAGAGCAAAGGCTGTCTCTGCAAAAGAGGTGGACTCCGGTAATGACATTTATGGGAACCCCATCAAACGCATCCAGTATGAGATCAAGCAGATAAAGGTAAAAAGCAATCATGGGAACCCCATTTATGTGCAATTTTAGCTTGTATATCTTTGTCCCATAGGCATTTCATGGATAGATTATACTTAGAACACAGATATCTATAACAGAGATACAAGAAATAGTATGTTATTGTTATATTTGAAACATCAAATGTGTTATTATACACCAGGTTTTTTACTTATATACACAAAACATAAAGGTACATGGAGAGAAACCTGGTTCTGCCTTCAAATACCTACATTTTGGGTGATTCTTTGTGAAATTGTAGACATGGTGTAACTTTCAGTCTGCCTGGATCCATTTGATCTACTACTAATTGTTAAAGATTTTCAGACCTAGCCCACATGACAAAGATTTAGTACTGTTCATGACAACGGCTAGAATAGGAAATAATGTAAGCACTAGAGAACTTGAAATGGACAAACAATTTATGGATTCAGTATCCATCCTTACTGGACAGATGTCATAGAGAGAGACTTTCATTGGCTGTTAGGAATTGTGGGAGCTGAAGTCCAAAAACACCTGGAGGGCTGAAGTTTGCCCATGCTTGATCTAAAACCTTCAGTCTTCTGGAAGATCCAAACTCATAATAGCCTGCAGCAGGCATAGTTAATCTTCCCATTTATTTCTGTGCATGTGAGCACCTGTAAAAGACCAACTCAGCTCAAAAGCCCAGAAAAGGCAGCTTCTCACAGCGTGGCCAGCAAAAACTAGCTGAGTGATGGAAGTAGCAGACAACCAACCACTAATCCTCTCCTCACTCATTGTAAAAGAAGTGTCCAGTTAGAATTCCTTTTTAGGCGAGTTGGCTAGATCACTGAACATGATTTCATTTTGGTTTGATGCACATATCCAATCTAAGATTTGTCTTTAAACATTTCATTGAAAATAGTGATTAGTTTAATTCAGTAGTTTAATTCACTAATTGTACAGTATAAATGTTATACTGGATATAAATGTTAGAAAATTAGTGTAATGGATTGGGAAGTAGGTTAGCTCTACACCCCAAAGTGTGTTTTTTAAACAATATAAATCCATTTCATATTTAAAAACAATCTCTAGGGTTCCTCCAGAACTCAGGTCTGTCCTTCACCTGCTGCATCCTCATACATTTTAAGGAACAAGGATCGGATTGAGGATGAGCAGGAAAAGGGAACCAGCCGTGAGGCAAATACAAGCATCCCATACCTGTCCCTAGTCAAGAAGCCCCCGGTGGCGCAGTGGGTTAAAGCACTGTGCCGGCAGGACTGAAGACCGACAGGTCGCAGGTTCGAATCCGGGGAGAGGCGGATGAGCTCCCTCTATTAGCTCCAGCTCCTCATATGGGACATGAGAGAAACCTCCCACAAGGATGATAAAACATCAAAAATCATCCAGGCGTCCCCTGGGCAACGTCCTTGCAGATGGCCAATTCTCTCACAACAGGAGCGGTTGCTCGTGACACGACAAAAAAAAAAGTCATGAGAATATTTTAATTGCAAATAGAAAGAGTGCATCAAACATGTCATATAGTCAAACCAACCAGCCAAACACAACTAGAGTTGGATGCTCCTTCCCATAGTGCACCAATGCCATCTGACCCTGACAGAGGGTCAGGGAGAGAAGAGCCCATTGAGAACAGGTCCAGATGTTGACCTTATCTGCACTTGCATCCCTCACTTTTCTCAACTAGCTGGCAAATAATAAAATAAAAACTAGGTATTGTCCTGGAACTATAAGGTATCTGTGTGTCCTGATACTATTCTGCCCTCTCATTTCCAACCAAAAACTGATGAAACTAGCTGTGTGTAATGTGTTGGTCATTAATAGTACCTTTGCTTAGTGGTATTAAGAGAAATACTGTTTGTTCCTGAGGCATTTTCTGCCCTTGAGCGTCTTGTGTATTATATTTACACCACAATACAATTACTAGATAGCCAGTACTGTGTTCGACTTAGACTCCACTAGGTGACCTTGGGCAAATCACATTTTTTCAGCCTCAGTGGAGGACAAAGCCTAACCTCTGAATGTTTTCCCCAAGGTCACCATAAGTCAGAAATAACTTGAAGTCACACAACAACAAGGATCACTGGTATTTGTCTCATGCATCCTCTTCCTTCCTAGATGTTTAAAGGCCCTGACCAAGACATTGAATTCATCTACACGGCTCCTTCCTCCGCAGTATGTGGAGTGACGCTGGATGTTGGTGGCAAGAAGGAATATCTCATTGCAGGTAAGGAATTGAGCTCCTGAACCAACCCTGTGTTGGTTCTTCCACTTATCTCATGGAGGAACTGAATAATCTTTGTACTTCATGCGCCAATTTCTTTCTTTCTTGTTTTGGTGACTTCAGAGCCCATAGTTACAAAGAGCAGCACTTGTCCAGTAGGCAGATTAACATCAACAGGAATTTCAGGATGATTGGATTCCTGAACACTCAACAGACAGCTTTATAATCTTACCAGATATTTATTAAAGCAAAACAATCAGTTTATACATTCATATACTCCCAAGAGCCATACATAATCTAGGTACAGTCTTGTAAACATCCCATGGTTTAGCAGTATATCATTATGTAATCAAGATCTGTCCATCTTACTGTTTAACAATTGTAGTTTTACATAGCCTATCATCTAATGCAGAGAGGAGCAGTGCCGTCTATCATTACAGAGTATGATAAACAGTCTAGACTGCTTGTCCTTCAACTGGATTGAGGTAGTATTTATATTGTGCCTGTATAGCTTCATCTGATCATCAGCTAATTAGGAGATAAACTTTTGTGTCAAAAGAGCTCAGAATTAAAAGTCACTATCTTTTGATCTGGCTATCAGTCAGGTCTTACTAACAGACACGCACTGTATCCAGATAGGTTCTCAATCTCATCTTTTGTTATTTCTATTTCTATTTATCAGGCACTGTTCCCGGACAGCTGGAATATAGATTTCTCTAAACACAAATAACAATTTTTAAACCCAGGGCCCATCCAGTCAGGCCCAAAACCCGAGACCTGTCTTGATTTACCAGAGGCACCCAAATTTCCCTGGTTTAATCAGAATTAATTACACCTGGGAAGATCTGGATCTTATGAGAAGATCTGGATCTTACTAGGCATGAGCCCTGTGTGGTTTGGGCCCAAGGAGCACATCACACGATCCCTGGGCCCAATCCACTCAGCCATCTCAATTTTTTGGGCTCCAGGAAGGCACCCTATCCCCCAAACCCCAAATGTACCCCTAAAAAAATAAAGAAAACATAGCTGGCCACCATTATGTTTCTTCTCGCACCCCCTTGGCAAGAGAAAATGATGTGCTAGGAGACCGGGGGGGGGGGGGGGGATTTTCCTCCCCCCTCCCCAAGTCTCCTGGTACGTCATTTCCTCCAGCCAGGAGGGCACAAGAAGTAAGTTTTCTTTACTTTTTAGGGATACATTTGGGGGGCTTCAGGAAAGCCCAGTTTTTTTGGTGGGAGTGGGGACAAAAATCTGAGCCAAAGCATGGATTTTGGGGGGGGGGGTGTGGAAGTTCCTCCAGTAAGTTTACCTTCAATTAAAGTACAATCATTTTAATCTGTTTAAAACTTTAAAAAAACTTTTAATAGCTAATCTACAAAATGAGAAATTGGTAAAATACCACTATTAGGTTATAACACCCAAAAGTCTGGGGAAGAGGAGAATGAAAGTGATGCTCCTGCAATGTCAAGTGATGTCAAGTCAAGAGATATGTTTAAGAACCATGCTTAAATATTTGAAAGGAAGTTATACTGGAGATGGAGCAAACTTGTTTTCTGCTACTCCAGAGACTATAGATGCACTTACTAAGTAAAATTAATGCACTTTGAAACCACTTTTAACTGTCATGGTGTCAAACCGCATTAAAGTGATGTCAAACTGCATTAATTCTAGAATGTAGATGCACCTAAGGATACGGAGCAATGGATTCAAGCTACAGGAAAAGAAAGTCAATTTAAACATTAGGAAGAATAAGCTGTTCAAGAGTGGAATATGTTACCCTGGGAGTGTGGTGGAATCTTCTGGCTGGTTTGCCATCTTTTGGGAGTGCTTTGATTGTGTGTTTCTGCATGGCAGAATGGGGTTGGACTGGATGGTCCTTGTGATCTCTTCCAACTCTAGGATTCTATGGTCCAAGCATGGTGAACTGGATTTGTTGCTTTGGTCTAGTTTTATCATTTTCTTGCCTGTGCCCAGGAATCTATTAGAATGAAGGTCAGTCTAGAAATATTTATAACAAATACAGAAATGGTCATAGAACAAAAATACTATTTTCCGTATGCAGCCTACATGGACTGACAGTTGTTAGAATGAAGCAGGCTCCCAAATAGAACAAATGCAGTTTTCTTTCTATAGCACAAGGAGGGTTTGTCCTTGATGCATCTCAAAGTACCCTTTCCTGCCCAGCTGGGCCCTGAAATTACTGAAATTTCATTTGTCAAGCGCCATCTCCTGGAGCTTCCATGAAAGGATATGAGACTATGGTTTAATCATCAACTCCACAGGCAACTCGAAGATACACACACATAGTCACCCCAGGGCTTTTGATACTGTAATGAGGTGTGCTGTGCAGTCTGATGGTGCCTGGCATTTCGGAGCTTCTTAGTAGGCGATGGTCATCAATCAGAGAATCTTAGAGTTGGAAGAGTGCATAATGGTCATGTAGTCCAACATCCTGATGTGCAGAAATACACAACTAATGCACTGCTGAAATATGCCGTTCCAAACTTTGTTTAAGACCTCCTAAGAAGGAGAGCCTTCAATTTTCCAAAACGGTTTATGCCACTGTGTTGTTGAAGGCTTTCATGGCTGAAATCACTGGATTTGCTCTGAGTTTTCCGGGCTGTACAGCCATGTTCCAGAAGCATTCTCTCCTGACGTTTCTCCCACATCTATGGCAGGCATCCTCAGAGGTTGAGGGGTCTGCTGGAAACTAAGTAAGTGAGGTTTATAAAGTGAAAGATTCTCGGAATTCTGTGCAGCATAAGGCTAGCTACTAATGGACTCTGTGTATAACTATATCCTGTTAGCTCTCCCAGAATGATGAAAATGTTTTGAATAATTGAGCCCTTTTTGCAGTGCATGCTTGTTTGTAATTAGTGCTTTCTGGCCCAGATGAGACACATGCTTACTCTGGAAACTGATTAGAAAGAAGCATTTGATACAGTGGGCACGCATGCTTATATCCACCCTCCATGCATGTCCCAACTAACGAACATTTTGCTTTGCCAGGGAAATCTGAGGGCAATGGCAGAATGCACATCACTCTGTGTGACTTCATCGTTTCTTGGGATTCCCTCAGTGCTACCCAGAAGAAGAGTCTCAACCAGCGTTACCAGATGGGCTGTGAGTGCAAGGTATAGTCAAATGAGTCCATTACAACTTCTGGAACTTCTAGTAAGGCCTATTCTACACTTCCATATAATCCAGATTATTAAATCAGATCATACACATTATCTGCTTTGAACTGGATTATCTGAGTCTACACTGTGATATAATCCAGTTCAAAGTGGATTTTATATGGCAGTGTAGAAGGGGCGTCAAAGTTTAATGGCTGCCACAGTTCCTTTTGTATTTCTCAATTAAGAACAGATACCTGCAGTTCTACTAATAGAAAGCTTGGTGATAAGATTGGGTGCTACAGCTATTCAAGATCAGCCCAATCCTCATTGAAGTTAATCTATAACATGACCTGGAATGAAGCCACAATGCATAATTTTACCAACTTTGATATCACTTTAACTTCCATGGGTTTGTCCTGTGGAATTCTGGGATTTGTAGCTTCAGAAGGTACTTGGAATTCTCTGACATAGAAAGTTAACGTTGAATTTCAGAGAATTATAAGCGCCTCATCAAAATACAGACCCCAGGATTGTGAACAAATTACTGTATTTTCTAACATTGAACCGTAGATATCAAATTACTATAATTTTGCAGTATGACTCAGACTTGGATAAAAGGACCCTTCTACACTGCCATATAATCCAGATTATCAAAGCAGATAATCCACATCATCTGCTTTCAACTGGCTTATATGTGTCTACACTGACACATAATCCAGTTCAAATCAGATAATCTGGATTTTATAAGGCAGTGTAGAAGGAGCCTAAGAGAGAGTCAAAGGAGAACTGCCTCTGAACAAATCTTGCCAAGAAAACCCTATGTTAGTGTTGCCAGAAGTTGGAAATGTGTGTTTCCCAGAGTGTTAGCCCTTTGAGGGAAACAAATAAAAATTAAAACTGTAACAAATTAGTTTTGGTTTAGCAAACAAAGCATGTCTCGATTTATTTATGTTGTTTTCCAGTTCTCTTGTCGACACCAAAAACAAGCAGGCAGTTGTAGGTACAAACCTAAAAGTTTACTAATGGTGTTCTATATTTATATATGCACGAGGAACCTACATCCTAACTAACTAATGAAAAGAACAGTGAAATATTTCATTCTTAATCCACCATCTTTTGATGGATGAACAAACATAGCTGGAGATTTGAGAAGGAACAGAAAGAGAAATCAAAAGAGGCAACACTGAGAAGGGAGCGGAGTTTATATAACCAAACACCCCAAGGAAGAGACTAGAACCACATGGTTTACTTGCAAGGTATTTATAACCATGCATTCTAAAGGATAGTAAGAGCAAATGTGAAGGTTTAGATGAGAGAAATAAAGAGAATGATTTGGCATACATGATATCCTGCCCTGACCAAAACCCCTGTTGCTGTAACAGCAAGAGAAGGGAGAGAGAGGGCCCATCTACACAGCCATATAACTCAGAATATCAAGGCAGGAAATCCCATAATATCTGCTTTGAACTGGGTTATCTGAGTCCACAGTTCAAAGCAGATAGGATTTCTTGCCTTGATGTTCTGGGTTATATGGCTGTGTGGAAGGGCCCAGAGAATGCTGGAATTTTCCAACAGGAAATGCCTTGAAGGTGCACAACAGGCCCGTGCAATTTCATAGCATCCCTCTTCTCTCCCCACAGATCTCGCGCTGTCCTTCCATCCCTTGCTATGTCTCTGCTCAGGATGAGTGTCTGTGGACTGACTGGGTGACGGAGAAGAACATCAATGGGCGGCAGGCAAAACACTATGCCTGCATCAAGCGGAGTGACGGTTCGTGTGCGTGGTATCGTGGTGTGGCTCCTCCTAAGCAAGAGTTCCTTGACATTGAGGACCCCTGAGTCCCCAGGGTCATGGCAGGTCATGGCATTCCTGTAGCCAATAGCAACAAAGCCTGTAAGAAATTAGATTGGTCCACCTTTGACATCACCTCCTGCAAACAGCATGAAAATAAGGTCTCCTGGGCAGGCACAATAATGGTGGGGGTGGAGGGGGGGATGTCTACACTATTTGCATATTGCTTTGTCTGTTTCCTCTGCTGCATTGTGCCAAGGCATATTTTCTTTGGGAGTCACAGTTGCCAATATGCCAAGGCACAGTGGGGAGAACAAGAGTGAACAATATGCTTGCCTGAAGAGTGTTGCATCTGATTCTGTGTAGCAGGCCTACCAGGTTCTTCTTGCCTCGAGAGAGGGCATCCCATCCCTTGCTGTGGAGGCAGCCCCTACCCCCATTTGTTTCCTACATACAGTCCTTTGCACCCATCCCCTATTGAATGTTCCAAGTGCCCAGTGCTCAAGATCCATTCCCTTCTGTTTCCCACACACATATGGTGGAATAAGCACATCCCTTAGCCTCTGTAAAAGGCGGTGGTTCCATCATGAATCATGAGTTCCTTTTGCACTAGTGAGAAAAGTTGCATTTTCATCAACCAAACATTGAGAGGGTGGCGGGTGGTAGTGGTCTCTCTTTCTGAGCATAAATATTTCAAAGATTCAATTCTAGTTAATGGATATTAAGTCCTTGTACCTATGAGGTCTCAGCACTTAAGTTTCAGTAGAAGTACATTTGCTTAGGAATTTGAGTTAGTGTGGCAGGACTTCTACTTGGACAGTGTGATTTAACCCACATCCTATTGAGTGTTTGTGTCACTCACATAAATCTGGTGCCAAAGCTCTTGCTGGCCAGTGGAAAGACTTGCTGTTCTCATTAAAGGTTTAGCATTTGTCAGCCAAAGCAGGTGTCCTTCTCCTACGGATCAGAAATTCTTGCTATGTTGTGTATGATCTTTTAATATGCCAGCATCACTCCTAGCCCTGCCATCTGCCCTGTATAAGAATGAATTAATGTGCCAAGAACTCCTTAGAAGATAGGAATGTGTGCTTTGTCCTCAAATATGTGATGACAGAAGTTGGCACATCAAGGTTTATCCTTGTAAACTGTGAGTATAAGATGCTGTGTTGGAGTAATGAATCAAGAGCTTGGCTGCCTGTAAACACCCTCCCTGCCACCCGTCACCCACATAATGTCTCTGCCTCCAGCCTTTTACGATTCCCCTTTTTCTGAGCCACTTTTTCCCTTTGCTGTGCATGCCCCCCCCCCCCAATAATACTCTGCACAGCCACCACCCCCTCCTTTGCCATACTCAAAATCAAACTGGAGGGTTTCCAAAAGAATTCTTAGCCAGACCTGCCTCTAGTGGCTTTTTCATGCTGTTCATCAAGGTAGTTTTAAAGATGTCATATTGGACCAGTCTGTTTAATTTCAATATATTTTAAAAAAAGAAAAAAGAAAAAAAATCGGTTCAGTCCAATATAAGACTCCTGTTTTTCTTCCTGTATGGTTACAGTCTAAGTGACATTTACCCTTCTCCCTTTTTTTCCATCCTTCCCCCTCCCTTTCTCTGTGCTGATATTTTTTTGATTTTAATATTTTCCATTCATTTTGGCAATCAGTTGTATCATTCCTCTGCACCATTTTTTTAAAATTCCTTGTTTAGCTGTTAGATTTGCACTTATTCTTGTTTTTTTAAGGGGGTTCTGCATTGGAAGCTTCTAACATAATTGTGGGAAGAAGGTTGAAATATCGGGAGGGTAGAATCCCTTCTCTTACTTCTGAGTGCCAGTGGTGGGGTGGGGGGTGGGGGTTCGTAGTATTTCTCCTCCTCATGCCTCTGCAACATGCACAGGCCTTTTTTTCTAGAGGTTGGAGGCTGACTAGGACAAGTGATTGCTTCTTGCTAGCCAGTTTGCAGTTTATGTGCCTGCCAGCGGTTGCAAGATATCTCTGCCATTCCAGTAGCAATCATTGTGAAAGAGCAGTTCTCAAAGGCTCATGGATTGGCTTAATTTATAGTTGTGGGTTTTAGTGCCACACTGAACCTTCCCTGATATATATATATGCACACACACACTTAACAGTTTCCCCTTCTTCATGCCAGCAATTCAAAATATTTTTAAAAGTTTACATTATTTTCGAATCTTTGCTTAGTAAGTATGAAAAATAAGTATCTTAACGCTGCCATAATTTAAAGCTTATTGGGGAGCTGGGGTTGGGATGTTGTTTGGTGGGTGGAGTAATATGGGAGGGGGGCAGGGACAGGGGGGTCTCTTTTGTTGTTGTTGGTTTCTGAAAGCTGAGATTTTCTTGTGCTGGGAACACATGAAAGTTGTTGAATAGACAAGCAGACTGTGCATGTCTCTGATGCTTTGTATAATTCATACGTCGACACTTGAGTCTTCGGACAATAAACAGTATTATCAAATAAAACCAGAATAGTCTCTACTTGTCTTGAGTATACTTTATTTCTGTGGAGGTGCAAACATGAGAAATACACATTAGATTCATTTACATGTAAACTGTTTCTAGAAAGACTCTTAATTCTGTTTTTCCATTTTGAGTAGGAAGCTCTATTCTTAACTTCAAGTCCCTTCTCAACAAATCTTGCCATGAAAACCCTGTGATTTTTGGAAAATGGAAATCTCCAGAACTTTTTTGAGAAGGTGCTATTTCTAATAGTGATATGCTCACCTTAGTAACACCATATGTCTAAAATGACTTGAAAGGCGTACAGCAACAGCAGTCATTACTGTAATGAGATTGTGACCAGAGCAATATTGCCAGAAATTTTAGGGTCAAGCTTACTAAACATGGGCAAAGTCTTATTTGAAGGTCTACTACATGGGAATGCAGTAGTTTCTCAGACAGTTTCTTCTGCTAAGAGCTGTTTTAATTAATCAAGGGTCTAGTACAGCGTTTCTCAATCTGGTGGTCGGGATACCTGGGGGGGGGGGGTTGTGAGGGAGTGTCAGAGGGGTCCTCAAAGACCATCAGAAAACACAGTATTTCTGTTGGTCATGGGGGTTCTGTGTGGAAAGTTTGGCCCCATTCTATTGTTTGTGGGGTTCAGAATGCTCTTTGATTGTAGGTGAACTGTAAATCCCAGCAACTACAACTCCCAAATGTCAAGGTGTATTTTCCCTAAACTCCACCAGTGTTCACATTTGGGCATATTGAGTATTCGTATCAGGTTTGATCTGCATCAGGGGTCCTCAAACTTTTTAAACAGAGGGCCAGGTCACAGTCCCTCAAACTGTTGGAGGGCCGGATTATAATTTGAAAAAAAATGAATGAATTACTATGTGCATTGCACATATCTTATTTGTAATGCAAAAAACACTTTAAAACAATACAATAATTAAAATGAAGAACAATTTTAACAAATATAAACTTATTAGTATTTTAAAGGGACGTGTGGGCCTGCTTTTTTGCTGATGAGATAGGATTATTGTTGTTGTTGTTGTTGTTGGATGCTTTCAAGTTGTTTCAGACTTAGGTTGACCCTGAGCAAGGGCCCGGGTAAATGACCTTGGAGGGCCGCATCTGGCCCCTGGGCCTTAGTTTGAGGACCCCTGATCTAGATCCATCATTGTTTGAATCTGCAGTGCTCTCTGGTCTGCAGTGCTCTCTTTGGAGAGCACTGAACTACAACTCCAAAATCAATGTCAATGCCCACCAAACCCTTCCAGTATTTTCTGTTGGTCATGGGAGTTCTGTGAGCCAAGTTTGGTTCAATTCCATCGTGGGTGGAGTTCAGAATGCTCTTGAGTGTAGGTTAACTATAAATCCCAGCAACTACAACTCCCAAATGACATAATCCACCCCCACCCCAACACCAAATTTGGGCGTCTCGACTATTTGTGCCAAATTTGGTCCCATGAATGAAAATACACCCTGCATATCAGATATTTACATTACGATTCATAACAGTAGCAAAATTACTGTTACAAAGTAGCAATGAAAATAATTTTATGGTTGGGGGTCACCACAACATGAGGAACTCTATTCAGGGGTTGCGGCATTAGGAAGGTTGGGTTGAGAACCACTGGTCTAGCAGAACAACCAAGAAAAGAATCAAAACCTTTCAAGAACCCACTGTAAATAATTTGCTCAGTACTTCGAAAACAAAATCATTCCGATCTAATCTTACATTCCTACTGATAAAGGCCCCAGTCAATGTTCCTTGGCCCCACCTGTGAAGTTGCGATGCATATTTTCCTGTGCACACAGCCCAAGAGGATTGATAGGATCTTTGGAAGGGTAAGAGCCACCAAATGTGTGCTAGGTTCATATTCTTCCTGCCACCCACATGAAAAAGATTTGGGAGGGGGACTGACTGAACGGCTAAAGAGAAAGTACGGACAGTGATCCATATGTGGATCCAATCCTCTCTAGGGTTCCCTCAAAGTCCCCAGATCCTCCAATTTTAAGACAGACACAACAGCAACAACAACAAACTTTTTTTATATTCCGCTCTATCTCCCCAAAGGACTCAGGGCAGATTCCAAACATAAAAGGCAAACATTCAATGACCGAATACAACAATATATCCATACTAACAAAATGACGCTTACTTCTTGGGACGCTTACTTCTTGGGAGGAGAGCAATGACCAATCTCGATAAGATAGTGAAGAATAGAGACATCACACTGGCAACGAAGATCCGCATAGTAAAAGTAATGGTATTCCCCATTGTAGCTTATGGATGTGAGAGCTAGACCATAAGGAAGACTGTGCGAAGGAAGATAGATGCTTTTGAACTGTGGTATTGGAGGAAAGTGCTGAGAGTGCCTTGGAACGCAAGATGATCCAACCAGTCCATATTCCAGGAAATAAAGCCTGACTGCTCATTGAAGGGAAGGATATTAGAGGCAAAGATGAAGTACTTTGGCCACATCATGAGAAGAAAGGAAAGCTTAGAGAAGACAATGATGCTGATGAAAATGGAAGGAAAAAGGAAGAGGGGCCGACTAAGGGCAAGGTGAATGGATGGTATCTTTGAAGTGACTGGCTTGACCTTGAAGGAGCTGGGGGTGGCCATGGCTGACAGGGAGCTCTGGTGTGGGCTGGTCCATGAGGTCACGAAGAGTTGGAAGCGACTGAATGAATGAACAACAAAATGTAAACAACCCAACATATAAACATGAATTATAACTTTAAAAACTAAAATTAAGTAAAAAAAAAACACATCCTGTTATAAGAGACATAAAACTAAACGCCATCAAAATGACTGAAAATTGACCAAAACACCACCAAAATCTGGCCATTTGCAACTGTTTTGAACCCCGCACCCTCCCCAAATGGCTGTTTTGCAACAGAAAAGTGTAGCCAGATCTGAGAAGTGAAATCGAAGCTATGTTTAAGGAAATCCTTCTTCACTTGTGCTGTTTTCAGTTGCAGCTTTGGGTGCATCTACATTGAAGAATTTTATGTATGTATGCATGTATTTAGAGAATGTTTACCCTGCTCTTAAGCCAAAAAGGCACACACAGTTGCTGGAGCCCCTGGTGATGCAATGGGTGAAACCCTTGTGCTGGCAAGACTGCTGACCGACAAGTCAGTAGTTTGAATCTGGAAAGAGCGGGTTGAGCTCCCTCTGTCAGCTCCAGCTCCCAATGTGGGGACAGGAGAGAAGCTTCCTACAAGGATGGTAAAACGTCAAAAACATCCAGGCATCTCCTGGGCAACGTCCTTGCAGACAGCCAATTCTCTTGCACCAGAAGCAACTTGCAGTTTCTCAAATCACTCTTGACACGGGGAAAAAAAAAAAAGAATCCAGAGCTGCTTACAAAATGTGAATTTGCCCTCAGGCTTACAATCTACAAAAGATAAATAAGATGTCATACATAAGCCATGGTGGAGCTGTGTCCCTCCCTCCCTCCCACTCAATGACCAGCTGAAGGTGATGGGAGGGGCTCCCAACAGCTGCTGGAGGAGAAGGAATGGTGTTGGACAGCACTTGGGATGCCAAGGCTCAGTGCTACGGAATCCTGGGAGTTGTAGTTTCATAAGCTTTCTTGAGCCTTCTCTTCCAAAGACTCCCAGGATCCCACTGCATTGAGGCAAAGCTGCTACAGTGGTGTCAAACTGCGGTCTTTTTTTTTTCGTGTCAGGAGTCTGGTGAGTGAGATTTGGCCGTCTGCAAGGAGGTTGCCCAGGATGTTTTGATGTTTTACCATCCTTGTGGGAGGCTTCTCTCATGTCCCCGCATTGGAAGCTGGAGCTGGCAGAGGGAGCTCATCCGCGCCATCCCCGGATTCGAACCTACGCCCTGTCAGTCTTCAGTTCTGCCGGCACAAGGGTTTAACCCTTTGTTCCACCAGGCGCTCCTATATAATATAACGAGGCTACATAGCTAAATTGTATTATATATTTCATCACTACAAAAAATCCACATAAAATCTGGTCTTTGCCTCCTGCAGAATTCTGGGATTTGTAGTTTAATGAGGCTGTTAAAGGCCCCTCCCTAAACTACAAGGCCCAGAATTCTGCAGGAGGCAGAAACCGGATTTTTTTCTCTCTCTAGTGAGATGAGGCGTAATAATCGCCAGCCTATACTGCAATTGGACTGCGTTATTGGAGCCTAACCCGACCATCTAATGCAGTCTAAGCTTAGGAGTCTACACTGGGAGTATGATACCGTTTCCAGCTGCATGACACGGCAGCGTGGGTGGGGGCCTCGGAGGCCAAAGAAGCCTTGTTTTCGCTGCTTCTGGGCGAGAGGCACGTGGCAGGAAGCGCTCTCCCTTCTCTGCGGGACACTGCGGTTTTCGGGCTCCTTAATCCGCTTCCTCCTCCTTATCACGCGCCAGGCTCCTCCTCCTCCTCCCCTTCCCCTGCTGGGGATCCGCGTGCACCCACGCAGGGGCCACAGGCGGAGGAAGGAGAGGAAGAAGCATTCGCTTCCCTTCCTGGAAGACACCCCCCCCCCCCCCCCCCCCCCACCCGCGCGCCTTTAAACGGCGGCAAGGGGGCTCCTCAGCGAGGGCTTTGGGGTGAGCGAGAGCGAGCGCGAGCAAGCGCGCGCGCCTGGGAGAGAGGGAAAAAAGAGCAGGAGCAGCAGGCGGCGCTGCGCTGCGCTGCCTTGCCTTGCCTTGCCTTCCTCCTCGGCCTGCGTCAGAGGCGGGCGAGCTGGGCGGGGCGCTGCTGTCCGCCCGCCTCCTTGGGCCTAGCGGAGCCCGCGCTGCACCGCTTCTTCCTCTCCCTCCGGATCCCGGGCCAGGGAGGCCGGCCACGTGGGCGCGCGCCAGGAGGGAGCGGCCCTTTACGACCCCCGCCGGTGAGTGAGTGGGGCAGCCCGCCAGGGACCCGCGGGGGGGGGGGGAGAGAAGGACCAAGATCCCCCGCCCCCTCTCTCCAGCCCCAACTCTCCCCCCTCCTCCTCCTCCTCCCTGCGTCAAGTGCGGTAAACGGAGAGCGTGGGGGTGGGGGTACTGTCTTTCCCCCTTTCCCTTTCCGGCCTTGGTTTCACTTTCCTAAGAAACCCTCGCACCCCTCAAACCCACCAAACCAGAGAGGGCTCCCTTTCGCGCGCTTTCATGGGGGGCGGGGGGGGGGGGCTTGTTGTTTCAGCTGGCTCCGAACTGCGTGAAATGCTCAGTCTAGATGCGGCCTGTGTGTGCGCCCTGGGTTGGGCCTTGGTTCAGAAGGAAGGAAGGAGGTGGCTCCCGGGCGCCCTTTGCACCTCTCTTCCTTGCAATCCTAGGGGGCATCTACAACGTGGAAAGAATGTAGTTTAACACCGCAGCTTAATGCGATGGAAACCTTTTGCCTTTGTGGTGGAGGCTCCTTCTTTGGAGGCTTTTAAACAGAGGCTGGATGGCCATCTGTCGGGGGTGCTTTGAATGCAGTTTTCCTGCTTCTTGGCAGGGGTTTGGACTGGATGGCCCAGGAGGTCTCTTCCAACTCTATGATTCTCTGCCACAGTGCTGGTGCCTCACAGGCCCTAGGATTCCATAGCATTGAGCCAGGGCAGTTCAAGGCTCTCATCACACTAGAGAATGGATCCACTTTAAATCCGGTTTCTGCTTCCTGGGGTTTGTAGTTTACGGAGGAGCCTTTAACAGCCTCACGGAACTATAAATCCCAGAATTCTGCAGGAGCCAGAAACCAGATTTAAAGTGGATTCACTCTCTAGTGCAATGAAGTAGCAAGTGGTATCAAGCTGCAGTGTAGAGTCAAAGGGAGCCATATGGGCAGAAGTCCTTTGGGATGAGGACCTGATGGTGGTGGATCCATGCTGTGGAAGGGCCTGGCTCCTTAAGGAGAGAAAACAAGGCGAGTCAGGCAGGTAGTCTCTCTTTCTCCTTGGTGGATGAAGGACGGGCATAGGCTTGATATTCTGCTTGGTTCTGGATAGGCAGAACCAAGCAGAGTAGGAAGACCTCTCTCCTGCTGCTCCTAGCTGCGCTGAAGTGGTTTCCTTGACCCTTTTCATGCCCACTCTGTAACATCCCCTTCCTTTGACATATAGGCTCTTCAACACACATATTGTGGCCTTTGTGTTGACTTGGTGTGTCCCACAAGCCTCCACAGAAGGTGTCTCTTAGGCAGGTTCCTTCCAGGCACTAAGGTGCACCTGGGCAGCACCGACCCTTCCGTGATGCTCTTGTGCCATTTGGGCAGCCTTCATGTCCTTGACAACCGGCTCCTCCAGCAGGAATCAGCTGAGTCCCGATGCCTGACGCACGCGGCGATGACGGAGTTTGCCGTACATACAGAGCAGTTTTTCTGCTGGATGAGTCCCTAGTATACAAGGTCCTCTGTGTCCCTCTTAGAAACACAAAGGTGGGAGTGAGCAAACATGGTAATACATATAAGTGAAGCCCAGGGAGTGCTTCCGGGAGCTGGATTTTGTCAAGGACTTGCCGCGTGAAGTTTATGTATAAGCCCAGGCTAGTGCTGGAAGTTGAGGTATCCTTGTTAAAGAACCATTTTCCATATCCTAATAACACCCAGAAGCTCCTAATTTTAGAGATGTAGCTGTGGGAGTCTCTGGCTGGATCTACACCAATATATAATCCAGTTTCTGAAACCAGATTATTTGTTTTAAACTGGATTATAGTTTAAATATTTAATAAATATTATATATAATAAACTGCCCCCAGTGCGCAGCGGGTTAAACTGCTGAACTTGCTGACTGAAAGGTTAGCAGTTTGAATCTGGGGAGAGGAGTGAGCTCCTGCTGTTAGGCTCAGCTCTGTCAACCTAGCAGTTCGAAAACATACAGACGTGAGTCGATTAATAGGCACCACTTCTGCAGTCATGCTGGCCAGATGACCTTGGAGGTGTCTACAAACAACACCAGCTCTTTGGCTTAGAAATGGAGATGAGCACCACTCCCCAGAGTCGGTGACAACTACACAATGTCAAGGGAAAACCTTTACCTTTACTAGATTCATATAATCCACTTCAGAGCAAATAATCTGGATTATATGGCAGTGTAGATCCTGCCTGTGGAGCTAGTAGTATTTTTCTCCTGAAAACTGATTTCCTTTTGTAAAGATGGCAAGAACAGCAAGGTTTAGAAGTACTTGCCAAGTAAATACCACATTTTTTCAATTCTAAGACTCCCATCAATTATAAGACACATACTAATTTCAGTACCACCAACGGGACGGTACCATCCATGATTCTAAGATGTGCCCCATTTTAGAGATATTCATATGGGAAAAAATAACATCTCAGAATGGAGGAAATGCAGTACCTCCATAGGATTGAAATCTCCTTGTCACCAGCCTCCATTGAAATTCAGGGTGGTCTCTAGTTAGCTGTTCACCCATGTCATAGTGTCCCATCTACTCCAGATGGGAGTACTACATGTTTTTTTTATATACAGTAGTCATTCCTTATATATCAATGCATACGTCCAGAATCAAACCCTGACATAGTATTTGTGGCCTTCCTGATGAAAGTTTCCTTTATATTCTTTTAAAGTCCTCATAAGAGAGATTTGCCTAAAGCAAGGCTTCTTTAACCATGAGTCCCAACCCCAAATGGAGTTCCTTTAGCTCAATGGTTCTCTTCCTGTAGTGTTTTGGCCTACAAGCCCCAAAATCCCAGCCAGTTTACCAGCTATTAGGATTTCTGGGAGTCAAAGGCTAAAACATTTGGGGACCCACAGGTTGAGAACCACTGTCCTAGAAGGTGAACCAAGGATGGGCCTGTCTTTCAGTCAACATCTGTTACACTTACAAAAATGTGTTCTTGTATTCAGCATGCATGGCAGCCATGTTTCAAATTCTCCATTAAGTGAAACACCTAGACCAGTGCTTCTCAACCTGGGGTCTCCAGATTTTTTGGCCTTCAACTCCCAGAAATCCTAACAGCAGGTAAACTGGCTGGGATTTCTGGGACTTGTAGGCCAAATCAGGTTCAGAACCACAGACCTATACCTTTTGTTGGGACATTAGCTTCTTTCGGTCGCTGCTCAAACTTTGGGATAATTCAAGCAGTCCTTGTATATAAAAGTGTTTTTTTTTTCTTACATGGCGGCATGTGAACTGTAATATAGTGCCAGAACTCAGAAGAACGCAGAAATCCACAGCAACTCTTTAGTTGGTTTCCAATTTGCGGCCTAGCATTTTGAGAGCTTGTTTGGAGGCCTTGTTTCCTATTAGTGGTCTTTTCATGGTGACGATCCTTTGTATACACAAACTTAGATGTGTTTTCTTAGGAACCTTCTCTTTGTTTCACGGTTGAGAATATTGGGTCACCAGGACAAGGAATGATAACGTTTATATATTTAGGAAAACCCGATATGCTGTGATTGCATTGAAGACATCAGGCTGAGTTAGATTAGTATTTTATGCAGTTTGCTTTTAAAAAAAATCTTAGATGTAAAAACATTGTATTCTGGCTTTCAAGGAAGTACCATTTCTTCTTTCTGTCAGTGAATAAGTGTATCTTGTGAAAAACAGTTTCTCTTAGATTTCTGTAAGCTTTTCTCAGTAGTCAGGAGGCAGCATGTGTCATTGGTGACTATGAAACAACTTGGGAGTAGGATGCATATCCTGTTTTGAAAACTGAATTTATAGCTATGTTTTCTTGTGCAAAATGCAATATTAAGAATTGTAGCTTTTAATTTAAACTCACTGTTTTTAATATTAAACTGGTGGTGTAATAATTTGAGGGGCCTAAATACCTTAAGGGTGTCAGATCCTGTTTGATCTTGGAAGCTAAGCAAGGTAAGCCTTGATTAGTACTTGGATGGGAGACTGCCAACAAATACCAAATGCTATAGTTAAGGCATATTTCAGGGAAAGGAATTGGAAAAGCACCTGTAAGTATTCCTTGCCTAAGGAAACCCTGGCCCCTTCCACACAGCTGAATAAAATCCCACATCTGCTTTGAAGTGGGATATATGGTAGTGTGGACTCAGATAAGCCAGTTCAAAGCAGATATTGTGGGATTTTCTGCCTTGATATTCTGGGTTATATGGCTGGGTGGAAGGGCCCCTGTGAGCTTTGTGGATTGCTATAAGTCAACAGGTAAGTTGAAGTTACATGTACACACAAAGAAAGTAAGTTTCTTAGCATTCCTCAAAGTAAGAGAGGGCAGACTCACAGTGTAACATCCCAGACTCACATCCCACTTCACTGAAGTAAAGAGGACAAGGAACCACACAAGAATATACAAGGACTATAAAGTTATTTTAAAAATATGTACAGTACTTGGGTTCTGTTTCCAATGTGTCTTGGGACAAGGAGATTCCGTTAATCATTGTGGAAACATTTGGTTTTGATACCAGATGATTTATTTTGCAGCTTTACCTTTCAGGGCAAGAATCCTTTGCTGGCTGGGCAACGTGTCCTGCAACAGAGTGATGCACCATGCCTATAGTGGACAAACTGAAAGAAGCCCTAAAGCCTGGGCGAAAGGACTCTGCTGATGATGTGGAGCTGGGCAAGCTGTTGGCAGCTTCGGCCAAGAAGATTTTGCTGCAAAGGATTGAGTTTGAACCAGCTTCGAAAAGCTTCTCCTACCAGCTAGAGAGCCTGAAAAGCAAGTACATTCTACTGAACCCAAAGACAGAAAACCCCAGTCGGCACAAGGGCTCCGAAGAGGGATCCAACCGAAAGCAAGGTTTGTCCTGCGTTCTACCTGTATGAGGTGGTGGTGGACTGGTTGTTGTTATGTCTGGTGTTGGTGAGCTTTCTCCTTTCTCTCTTGCAGGCATTGAGCATGTCCTGGGAGGAGATGGAGTGCCAGCCCCACAGAAAGTCCTCTTCCCTGTGGAGCGTCTCTCCCTGAAATGGGAGCGGGTATATCGTGTCGGAGCTGGTCTCCACAACCTGGGCAATACTTGTTTTCTGAATTCCACTTTGCAGTGTCTGACATACACTCCCCCTCTCGCCAATTATCTGCTTTCCAAGGAGCACAGTCGCAGCTGTGAGTGTCGTGTTGGGACTTCGGGTGTTGTTGCATGCAGAGGTTTCATTGATGCAGCTAGTGGTCTAAGGCAAATCACAAGTTGATATACGTCTTTAGAGGTGGAGAAGGCAGGAATTGCTTTGCTTCCCAAAAGTGTGGGTGTTGGTCTTGGAATGAAATCAGAAATGGGCAACCTGTGGTCCTTCCGGTGTTGTTGAATTGTAACTCCTATCATTTCTTGCTATGGTTTCTAGAAGTCTCATGTCTGACAAATGCTTAAGGGCCACAATTGATTTTCATTGCTTTAGATATTTAAACAGCACAGCAAAGAGTAGAGCATTCTGAAAAAGGTGTAAGAGGCAGAAGAATGGTGGCAGAAGAACCTCCAAACAGAAAGGTTTATTGGCCTTATGCCCTGCATGGTATAAAGTGGAAGAGGAGATTGCTGAAGTTAGGGGATGCCTTCCAAGGAGAATAAGAAATTTGTGGATCTGCCCCAGTTACAACAACAGCACTGACAGGGCGCCCTGGCGGCGCAGTGGGTTAAACCACTGATCTGGTGAACTTGCTGACCGAAAGGTTGGCGGTTCAAATCTAGGGAGCGAGTTGAACTCCCTCTGTTAGCCCCAGCTTCTGGCAACATAGAAGTTCAAAAACATGCAATGGAGATGAGCACCAACCTCCAGAGTCGGACACAACTAGACTTAATGTCAGGGGAAATCTTTACTTTAACTAACAGCAGTGTCAGAGGAGCATACATTGTACAGTTGTAACTAGTGGTCTTGAAAGAACGGATCTTACTCTGTTCATGAACCTCTTGTCTAGGTGGAAAGAATGAATGATTCATGAATTTCAGAATTCCCTGTGTTACTCAGGTAGGCCAAGGCAAGGCAATCCTTTTTAGCCTTAGTCTTCCCACCTAAAACATGCAGGATAATAGCATATTTATTATTTATTTTTATTCAGTCCTGCTTTGACCCAACCCTTACAAGGTTGTCTCAAGAGCTGCAACAGGATAATGCAGGTGAATTTTATTACTTAACACTGCTATGCAAATGTGAATTTTCAAAATAATCCTTTTGTGAAGTCACATCAAAATCTTGCATAAGAAACTTCTATATGCCTCATGTTCTCGATACTCAGAAGACTCCTGTTCTGTTACAATATGGTTCAGTGTGTTTTGAGTGGAAAACAACCTTTCTGCATCCACAGGATAGGTAAAAATCCCCAGGGTTTTGTGTACTGCTCTATTCTTATAGTATTATTTGAAGCAGAAATCTCCCCACCTACCCACACTAATACTTCAAGTTCTTCAACAGAATGTCTTATATCGGAAGAATCAGAATATCTAAGAAGCTGGTTGACATTATAAACGAATTTCTGTTAAATAAAGATTTCACTATGATCATAGAGCCAGTGTGGTATAGTAGTTTGTGTGTTGGCACAAGGCAGCAGGACTCAGATCCTTACTCAGCTATGGAAATCCACTGTATAGCTGTGAGAAAGTCACACTCTCAGCCTCAGAGGACAACAATGTCAAACCTCCACTGAATAAAACATCTTACCAATAAAATTCTAGGAAAATATTGTTATATGACTAGAAAGCAAATAATGAGAGTAAGAAGAAGTCACAGTGCTGAGGATACTGTTAGGACTTTATTATTTTTTGTGTGGAAGAATGCAGCCTTAATTTAATATTTGCTTTTATTAGCAGTACATGTGCTGAAAGGAAAGACTTCGCATTTAGCTACAATAAGCAGGGTCTTGTGTCATGTCAATGCAAGCGGTAGCCTTAGCTTGTCCTGTGGTAGCAGCAGTTGGATGAAAGGACGTGTAGGTCCAAGGGCAAATTAACACGCAGTGCCTCTCACCCTACTACCAGGAGTGCTTTGCAGCAGGAAAACTGCTTTACAGGCCAGTGCATTCATCCTTGTAGTGAAGTTCTGTCAGGTTGTGTTAGCAGCTGCAAAGGAGGAGAGCCAGCATTTAGCTGCATGAGAACTGCTGCACAAAGCCACCATCCCACTCTTGCTGGTTTTGAGGGTGACGTATGTGTCCGAGACTTGTAGTCGGTAGTAGCTGTTTGTAGTACAGCATTGGCTGTATTGCGCCTTTAGATCGTGCTTAATTATGGCCAGGGTTCAGAAATTTAACTTGCTTCCCTGTTATAGTTATGGCCACTACAGCTGATCAGCAGAAAGTACAGCATTTGGGGCCTCTTCAGATGTGTAAGGAAGGAAGCATTTATCACTTAACTATGATAGGATTGGGAAGTCATACAACAACATGCTTGTCTTCAATTTGAGTGTAAGCCTTACTAGCCAAATGAGAGCTCCCCAATGTAAGCAATAAGAAAATACCTGCAGGTTCTGTGTCTCTGATGTCTCTAGGAGAGAGAAATTCCCATATTTTTAGTGCATGATGGGCATGCAATTACTGTTGAGGTATGAAACTGTGAAGCGAAAGCAGCACTTGCATCATGACACACCTTTCTCTTTGCATTTCTTCTGCCATCATTTGCAGGCAAGTTACGTAATATTGACTGGGCAAACATCTTTTGTTAGACTGCCCAGGATCAGTATGCTGTCCTCCAGGGCTTTCTGGCTCTGCCAAATAGATGTTTGTTCTTTGGATGCCGGATGTTGCTCTGATGAGTGCGAATTAATTCCTGATTTCTTCTCTTTCAGGCCACCAGGGAGGCTTTTGCATGATGTGTATTATGCAGAATCACATGATACAGGCATTTGCCAACAGCAGCAATGCCATCAAGCCAGTGTCCTTCATCAGGGATCTTAAAAGTAAGCAGTGGAGAAACCTTTGGAAAAAGCTGTATAAGCATATACCACATCTTATTATATAGGTTGGAGGGGCAAAAGATTCTGTGTGTGTTTGTGTGTAAGAGAGATTGTGTGCATATATGTTCATCACGCATAGCACTGTGCAGGACGGAGAATGTTGAAAAGCTGGATTTTTTCAAAAAAGGAAATACTGTAGATGTATGTAGGTCATTTGCCAATAGCAATATGATGTCATGAGATCCATGTGTGTAAGTCATAAAACTAGGGGTATTTGGGTGCTCCTTCCTTTACAATGGCAAAAGTGTGACCTTCAGGTCACACACATTACAGCTCCCAAGCAGTCCACTATCAATTTGAAAAATCCAGGTGATTTTCTGCATTAAAACTGCATGTAGAAGTGGTGTTTTGCCTTCCCAAGCCACAAAAAGGCCTTTGTTGTGACCAGAAATTTGCTGGAATGCCATCTTGAAGTGGTGTACTGTGGTGATAGTGACAGATGTTGGCCAACTTGCAAGTGCCCCCTCCCTTTAACCATTCATATTGCAATTAGAAACATTTCAGAAGCTAGGGATCATCATCATCATTATGTTTATTAAACTGCTGAGCTGCTGTACTTAGTGACTGAAAGGTTGGCAGTTCGAATCCAGGGAGTGAGGTGAGCTTCCGGTGTTAGCCCCAGCTTCTGCCAACCTAGCAGTTCTAAAACATGCAAATGTGAGTAGATTAAAAGGTACTGGTCCAATGGGAAAGCAATGGTGTGCCATGCAGTCATGCTGGCCAAATGACCTTGGAGGTGTCTACGGACAACTCCGGCTCTTCATCTTAGAAATGGAGATGAGCATCACAACCTCAGACACGACTAGACTTAATGTCAGGATAAACCTTTACCTTTTATTATGTTTATTTATACTTAGTTTTCTTTCTCTTCAAAAGAGACTTAGTGGCTTAGAGTAAAATGAAACGAAAAATAATTTTAAACTTAAAGCTATAGTAACATTAAAATAGAATTAAGTATTATTTATTTACTTTATTTGTATACTGCCTCTTCTTAGGCGACTCAGAGCGGTTTACAACAATTTAGGTATACACAATACAAAATCATTAAGCATTTAAAAGCAATAGCATCACAAATCATTAAACATCAATATCAATACATCGCTACATCAATATAACAAATCCATCAGGTCTCATCAATGAAATCAGAATCCAAACTCGTCATCCGATATTCCGTGTTCCGATAGTCAATCAATCAATCACACTGCTTAGTCAAATGCCTGTTCAAACAGCCAGGTCTTTACTTTCCTCCAGAATGCCAGCAAGGAGGGGGGTTGTATTAAAAAGTAAACAGTTAAAAATCCTTAAAACTGATTTAAAATATATTCAGAGCTAAAACCACAGCACCCTCTGACTTCTTTAGCCTGTTGCTGGAAGAATAGCAGGAAGGGGGCCATTCTGGCTTTCCTGGGCAGAAGGGAGTTCCAGAGTCAAGGGCAGCCACGTAGATTTCATATAATACATTTCACTTGCTAGTATCTTTCTTAGTTACACTGAGTGTGAAATTGGAATTTCCTTGTCACAAATCTGAGTTTTTTTAAATTTATGACATAAAATTGAGATGGAGCAATTTATGGGTTTCATTTGATATCTCTTACTGGGACTGGAGAAATAGCCCCTCTGTGTTGAGGGGCCTGGGAAACACATTTTAGACTGTTTTGCTTTTTTCCTTGGCAGAGATTGCTCGTCATTTCCGCTTTGGCAGCCAGGAAGATGCTCACGAGTTCTTGCGCTACACCATTGATGCCATGCAGAAGGCCTGCCTCAATGGCTATACCAAGTATGGACAGCTCCTTGTTTCTTAAAATACAACTTAATTGCATGGATATTGCACGTTTGTTTGGATATCGCTTTACTTTACGTTCCTTCACTTATCTATCGCCTCTTCCTCCCTCCATAACAGTACTCCCAAACACCATTACGTTGTAAGGGTAAGCCTAAGGGGCTCCAGCATAGAAATTGATTCTTAAAAGCGCCTCACAAATTTAAAAGGTTGGGAACCACTGAACTGGGGAAAGAAAGGAAAAAAGTTCACTACCCCCCCCCCCCCCCCCCACACACACACACACTATTTCATGACTTATTTTTTGAGGTTCTCTTGTTTGTAGAGATGTAAATAATAATCACGTACAGAACCTTTGACAACACTCTACTTTTTTCACCACTCTCAGTCTACTCTGAACCCTCTAGTCTTGAATTTGCAAGCTGAAAAAACCTACTGGATCTCACTTTTCAAACATTTTCACTTTAAATTTAGAATGTCCTTTTCCCTAACCAATAATAATAATATTCTTTTTTTTAAAAAAACTTCATTTATATTCTGCCCTATCTCCCCTGGATTCCAACAAACAAAAAGGCAAACATTCAATGCCTCAATAACAATAAATACAAGTATAAAAACCTAATACAATTCCAATGCGATTGTCCTGCTTCTTGGCAGGAGGTTGGACTGGATGGCCCAAGAGGTCTCTTCCAACTCTATGATTCTATGAAATAACCCTATATAAAGAGCAACTTAAGCATAATAACTTTAATTTAAATAAAACATAATCGAATAAGCAGGAGAAGTCTGTAATAATTAAGTGGTCATGTTAGGAAAAGAGAGGATTTCCGTGTGCTTTTTGGCCTGCTCTTGTGTCTTAGCTCTTAAGTTGCATTCTGAACTCGTGCTTGTTTTTCCAGGCTGGATCGCCAGACCCAGGCTACCACATTGGTTCATCAGATCTTCGGTGGCTACCTCCGATCTCGTGGTGAGCATTTAGCATAGTAGAACCTAGCCTTTTTATTTTTTGTTGAGGCTTAGCTAGGAGGCCCCTTTGCTACTCTACTGGTATTTTAAGCATTGGTGATAACATCACAATTCCAGACAGTCTTCCTTTGCCCGGTAGCCCTGGGTCAGTTTACTGCTGGCTTCCTTTGGTCTCAATCTAGGCTGGGAAGGGGGGATATTTGGTATCTTGGGATTTAATGACCACCACTAAGAGTTTTTCTGGATTAGAAAAAGAAGTCTTGCTGTCCCATCTTTCCCGTTATGGAATGTGATTATGGCAGGCAGCTTTGGCTGTGAAGGGCAGGCAGACAACTCTTCTGCTTTCTTTGCAGTGAAGTGCTCCATGTGCAAAAGCGTTTCAGACACCTATGACCCCTTCCTGGACGTGGCTTTGGAGATCAGGGTATGCCAGAGTTGTTCAATCATTTTATCTTTTTTTGCTCAATAGATTTTTAAAAAGATATACTATAACAGATGTGTTGCACTCTAGCCTTGAGTTCACCCCTTTTCACCCAGCACCACACCAGAGTCCAGTTTATGTAGAAAAGCATATACAAAAGGGAAGAAAGACATTTCCCCAAAGCTGTAGAAAAGGTGTATAAAATAGCAGTAGTTCATATGTGCAAAGTTCAATAGTCCATAAGATAAGGTACGTGAAATCCAGGAAATCAATATCATAGGTATAAATCCATAAGCATGAAAACTGTCTAAATTTGCCAGAGCAGGGACAAAGGCTTGAGGAGCATTTCTCCCATGCCTCTTTAAGTGCATTTGGTGGCAAAAATATCAGAAACATTTTTGCCCTTCCTGAGACCATAGGGAAGTAGTGACTGGCACAGTTTCCTGGGAAGATGGATCTGAATGTGGATTATAATTTGCCTATTCCTGCTATAGATGTATAAATATGAATGGCTTTGTAGTGATCTCTGGTTTTTATTGAGTCACAGTTTATATAGCAACAAGAATTGTTCAGTTCTCCAGATGCTGTTTGTGTGCTTGTTTAATTTATACCCTGCATTTCTCCCAACATGGGTACCAAGGTAGTGAACAGTGTTTTCAAACCACATAGTGAGCATTTCTCATGGTTAGGGAATCTGGGATTGCCAGTTGAACAACAGTTGGAAGGCCACATCGTTACTACCTCTACCTTTCTGAGAAGTGCACAAATGTGTAACAAATAGGTGATGTGTAACAGTTCACTTATTAGTAGAGCACCAGTACATCGAAAATGAAAAAGAAAAAGAAAACCGAGGTGGGGCTTGTTGAGAAATGGGTGTTGAGGTATATGGACACACCACATCTGCAGCCATTCATCCAGCCATGTGTACCTTCAGAAATGCTATTTTCCATTTATGGTGATGTTGCGGTTCTCCTATTAATTATCTGGGTTGCCCACAAGGTCTCTTCCAACTTTATGATTCTTCTAGGAATGTTTGTATTCAGACAGAGGAGAACTTAAATATATATTCACCTTCTTGTGGATTTTTCCTAGAAACCAAAGAATCTCAAAGATTTTTCTTTAAAACATCGATCATCTAGCTTTCAGGGCATACATTGGAAGATGTAATAGAAACAGTAGTATAATTGAAAGATGCGGAAGATAACAATCTAAGCATTTTTAGTTGTCCTCAAAGTGAATATCAAGATGTTATAGTATTGATTTCTGCAATTTACATTGATTGTGATTGACAATTAGATCACTGGAGTATAAAGAAAATGCCACACTAGCTAATGTGTACACATTTTCTTCAGTTCGTTATGCGTTTGTCTTCAAATACTTCATATTGAACTTCTAATCAGAGGAAGCCACAGAAAAATGCTGGGATACTATGGGCATACATTCTCATGGCCTCCAGTAACCGTGAAGGCTTTAGCAACGACACTTAGCTATGCCAAAATTACTGCTTGCCCAAGATGCATGCCCCCCACCCCCCATTACTGGGCAAAGAGGGATGCCATGCTGTATGCATACAAAGGGGGGGGGGGCTACTCCATTTCAGCTAATGTAGCAACATCTTTAAGGGATAGATGGATGGATAGAACAATATCTAAAGAGTTGTGATCTGGTCTTCTCTTAATGCTAGTTTTTCAAGGACTCATCCATGGGCTAGCCCAGTGTCCCTCAACTGGCTATCCTCATGTATTGGATAATCAGTTTAGGCCATTTGGAGGGCACTTGGGCAGGAAATGCCAGTCTTGTAGTCTTCTGTGTGGAACAACCTGGGTGACGCTATTCTTCAGCTGATTTGTATGCTCGTGTCCTTCTCTTGTCTGAATTTCTTCTGTTTGTTTTTACAGCAGGCTGCCAACATTGTTCGGGCACTAGAATTATTTGTAAAGGCAGATGTGCTGAGTGGGGAGAACGCCTACATGTGTGCCAAGTGAGTTGTCTTCTGCTTTGGCTTTTTGTATTGAATTACCTGTTCCATCTTACTTACCAATGAGCTTTACTGAATATGCCTTGGAGGAAAAGGAAAACAACTCAAGAAGCATATTTCTAGAATGGAAGGGTTATTATGAGATGAGGCACATTTGTTCTAATCTGCCGCTTCTGTAATTGCTGACTCACTCTTAAAACATAAATTTGAGCTTTTGAAAATTGCGGCAGGGAAAGGTTAGCTTCATTTAATCAGTGACAGATTAATACCACTGACACTTTTTAGATTGGGTGAAGGGAATAACTGAGCACAAAAGGGCCTTATTTTTGGGAAAGCTGCCTTCTGCCTGAAGCCATTTCTCTAAATATTTGGAGACTGCAGCATGCAGAGGGATGTGTAGGAAATCACATGGAGGATGCTCTGTAGCGAAGCAGCCTCTACACAAGGTCCTTCAAGGTCTCATGTGTGAGGTGCAGCTGAGCAACTGCATGGCTCCTATAAGTGGATATGCCAAGTATCCCTTGTTCACCTCTTATCTTTCTCCCAAAAACCTTGCACCAACAATCCCGTGCTGCACGTGTGCCATATTGACGCTGCCTCTCCTTCCTGCAGGTGCAAGAAGAAAGTGCCAGCCAGCAAACGCTTTACTATCCATCGAGCATCCAATGTCCTCACAATCTCTCTCAAGCGCTTTGCCAACTTCAGTGGAGGCAAGATTACCAAGGTGAGAAGATCTGGAAACTGGGAAAGGTGTCGGCAATGTTCCTTCTCCCCAAAGAGAACATTTGGAAAAAGCTAAGATAGCCAGGTCTTTCTGATATTGTGTCAGCCAGTCGTGTCAGCCTTATACATGTTGTCGGTCCCAGCACTTAAGCCAATGGTGACAAATTTTGAAGGTTGCTTGATTTCCCCCATTGTCATATTTTTAAAAAGTAACCTGCCCTTGAACTCCCTGTGTTTACTTCATCCTGCATGGCTTTTCTCATCCTGATTATGAGACAAATTCTTATAGACTATTATCTTTTCTTTTGTAGGATGTAGGCTACCCTGAATTCCTGAACATCCGTCCTTACATGTCACAGAGCAGCGGTGACCCTGTCATGTATGGTCTCTATGCTGTGCTTGTACATTCAGGTTACAGCTGCCATGCAGGGCATTACTACTGCTATGTCAAGGTAAGAATACTTTCTCCAATGATACTGAGAGAGGGGCAACTTTGCCAGAAGAATAGTATCTCTGTCACTTTAAGGGATGATTTGTATTTGAAGCTCTGGGTTTTCAGTGTTAAGTTTTTGCAACAGTATAATTCAGTTGCAGTGTAATATGTAGATTTCTGAATCTGTGACATTGTTCAAAGCTCAAAGTTCACTGAAAGCAATGGAATTTTGTAAGTAGTGTTGTATTCTGTTGTCATGTTTGCAAATATGAAAGCCTACAAAAAACATAGCAGTAGAAAAATGTTTTTCTTTGCTGTAAAGAGTCCCCTACAACTCGGACCTTCACATCTCTAGTCTTGCAGTGTCCGGTCAGCGATTCAGTGACTTAGTATTACATGAAAGGTTTACAATAGATTGCTAGATAACACAAAGAGTTCACAAGCAGAGTGCAGGCCCATCCAGACAACCCCAAAACATGGGAGCTGTCTGGGTTTTTACCAGGAGCATCCAAAGGCCACCTTCTTAAAAACAAATTAATTTGGAATAATTTTGGGTTTTTTGTTATTCCAAATTAATTAAATACTCAATTAAATCTGGGCCTTCCTAAAACATTCAGTCTAATGGGGTATTGGGCCTGTGGGACTCACTTCCTATTTGCTCTCCCAAACCTTTTGGCCTCTTGGAGCCCAAAGGTCTGGGATGGCACCCAACCCCTCCCCTCCAGCCCTCAAAGTACCCCTAAAAAGTAAATAAAACTTACCTGGACTCCTGGCACGAGGAAATGATGCATCAGGAGACTGAGGGAGAGGGCTGGAGTCCATGAGGCCGCAAGGAGGAACTTAATGGCAGGCAGGTAAGTTTTCTTTAGTTTTTAGGGGTAATTTTGGGGGGGGGGGGTTCGGGGTGGCCACATGGCATTCCAGTTGCTATCAGGATGGCATACAGTATAGCCCCCCCCCCCCCAGAAAGCCTGGCCTTTGGTGTGTAGTGGAGACAGAAATGTGTGCATTTTGGCCTGTCTGGAAGTGCCAGAGATAGCAGTCCTACTAGATTAATTCTAGTAGGAAGACTACTAGAGTTAGAGCCCTTCCAGACAGGACCTATATCCCAGGATCTGATCCCAGGTTTCTGTTTATCCCAGATTATTTGGCAGTGCAGACTCATATAATCCAATTTAAAGCAGAAAACCTGGGATCAGATCCTGGAATATAGGGCCTGTCAGGAAGGGCCCTTGGTCTTCCATTGTGGTTATCACTCATTTTGTTAAGTAATTATATAAACAGTTATAATCCAGAGATGGAGAATCAGTGACCTTTCATCTGAGGATGAATCCATTTCCCTGCTTGTTGTAGCAAACATGAGATAAACTGTAGCTCTGCAACTTCTGGAGGATTATAGATGCATCCCCTACCCATCCTGATTGGCAGCAATGACCATAACCTTGTAGAACTAGGCTGCTTTTCCCCCTCCCTTTGTCCATCAGTACTAAGACACGATTACAAAACCTTCTCTTCTCATGCTTTTAGGCTAGTAATGGGCAGTGGTACCAGATGAATGACTCCCTAGTACATTCAAGCAACATCAAAGTTGTTCTCAACCAACAGGCTTATGTGCTCTTCTATCTAAGGTAAGTTGGATGCCCATGGCACGCAGCACAGGCCACTCTTTCCAGCCAATGTGGTTCTTCTTTTGCTGTCTGTCCCTAATTTTATGCTGATTGAGTGAAGCTTATAGAATATGGATAGTGGAGTTGGCTGTAAGAGTTGCTGGGGATGGTAACATGGTTTCTGCCAACACCAATCTTACCGAAAGTATAGCTGAAAGTATATCTTGACTTGGTTTGACAAGGAGCCTAGGTAGTCCTGGGTAATGTGAGTTTATTAGTTCTCAAGTGCCAATATTGCAGCTGGACTGCTCATCTGGCCAAGGGGTGTGGGTGGCATCCTGTCAGTCTTACAATGGTGGTACTTGGCTCTTTTTCTGGTTTTGCCTCCAGGTGTCTGGGTTAACCTTTCAGACCTTAAATAGCTTGGATTCTTTAAAGGGTGCCTTATCCCCCATTGATCTACCTAAAGCTCCCCTTCAAGACTACTTCAAGATACTTCCTTGAGTCTCTCTGTTTTGAGGGGGTGGTAGGCAAGTGACGTGACCTTCTCAAATCTAGCACTGAGCTTTGCAGCACCCTCTCCAAGGAGTCTTGTCAGAGTCCTCTTAAAGGCTTTCTAGAATCAGTCTTCAACTTCTTATCTGGCTTTTTATTTCCATATTCCCCTGCTATTGTTTTGAAATGTGGATTTGCTATGATTAAAATGTTGGCTGCAGTAGTTGTTCTTTATCTGCAGGACAGGGTTGAAAAACAAACATCTATCTCATTACTGGTTCTTTTGCTCTCTCTCTCTCCTGCTCTCTCTTCAAGGATCCCAAGTACAAGGAAGAATCCTGAAGGGCCTATCTCCAAAAGCTCTGTGTCCAACCGAGCAAGTATAGTCTCTGACCATATGAAGAAAAGCATGACCAATGGTTCCTTGTCTTCACCACTGATGAGTAAAGTAAGCATTTCCCAACCCACCTGCCCTCCAGAGATAGTCAGTCCTGGGGTTGTTACTGTGCATTAGGGTTAAGGTTACACTACTGCAAACTACAACTCATATAATTTAATGTCTCTCCCAAGTGGAATAAGTAAAGGTAAAGGTTTCCCCTTGACATTAAGTCTAGTCGAGTCCGACTCGGGGGGGGGGGGATGCTCATCTCCATTTCTCAGCCAAAGAGCCAGCACTGTCTGTAGACTCCTCCAAAGTCATGTGGCCAGCATGACTGCATGGAATGTTGTTGCCTTCCCGCAGAAACAGTACATATTGATCTACCCACATTTGCATGTTCTCGAATTTCTAGTTTGGCAGAAGCTGGGCCTAACAGCAGGAGCTCACCCACTCCCCGGATTCAAACCGCCAACCTTTCAGTCAGCAAGTCCAGCAGCTCAGTGGTTTAACCTGCTGTGCCACCAGGGGCTACACTACCATATAATCCAGTTCAAAGCAAATGACTTGATTATATGTCAGTGTAGATCCAGCCACAGACTTCCACAGCTGCATCTCTACATTAGGAGCTTCTGGATGGAGTTGGGATAGAGGAAATGGTTCTTTAGCAAAGATACCGCAATTTCCAACCCCAAGTGGAATAGCAGATGGCAGAGAGAGGTTCCTGCTTAGCTTTTTCCCTAATATGCTAAATTTTGGTGTGTAGCATTTTTCTTGTACCCTCCATCAGATGTATCTTAGGTTTGAACTGTGATGCAATACAGTTTACCATATCTCCTGTTTAAAAACGAGGCCAGAGATAATACACTTTAATGGTAGCAGAAATCTCTTTCTTCAATATATGAGAGGAATGAAATTATAACACAGGAAGAATAATGTGTACAGCAACTAAATTACTTTAACATAGCAAGGTGACTTTAAATGAATTTTCTAATTGTTTTGCAAAGTGTGTGTGTGTACATATGCTTGTGTAGCTATATTATTATACAGGTGCAACCTTCTAGTAGGCTTAGCTCTGCTTTCTTCTAGTTCTTGTGTCTCTCCTACACAGAAACAAGATGCAGCTCAGGTCAAGAAGGTGTCTTCAGATACCGAGGAATCTGGCGTCCCTATTTCCCGCAGTTCTTTTACTACTCACTCCAAACAGCAGAATGGGACATTTTCTTCTCCTTCTCATTCTCCTCTTCCCAAGTTTATACCTACCATTGGATTCTCATCTCCTAAACTCCCCAGCAAGCCAGCCTTTTTGGATGACTTAAGCAAGAGATCCAAGAAGCAGTCTGTTCTGTCCCTCAAAACATCTCAGGACTTTAATGAGAATGGCAGTGCCAGGGTCGATACGGGCAAGCAGAATTCTTGGGGCGACAAGGGGTTGGCATCATCATCTTCACATCTGGCAGGTCCTCCTAGAGGGGATCCTGAGGCCAAAATGCGCGATGGAGGCACAGAGCTACCCAGTAAGGACTCCTCGTCTTTGACCTCTTCTTTGTCGCCATCGCCATCCTCTTCTAGCAGTTCCTCTTCATCCAGCCCTGCACATAACTCCCTCAAGGGACTTCCACAGACAACAATAGGCATCAATGGCTACTGCTCTTCTCAGGAAACGGACTGTGCCTCTGGGAAACATGGTTCTGAGGACTCCAAGTTTGCCAAGCTAAAGTCGCCCTTGTTGGCTAATGTGAACAATCTGGAGCTGGGAAGTACTATGTCACCTCCACCTGCAAAGAAATTGGCACTTTCTGCCAGGAAGGTGCGTTTGGGTTGGTGGGCTTTGCCTTGTTCATCTCTCAGACTGGGGAAGGAGCAGGGGAACATGGCTTATGGCATTGTTCCAGGCTCAGTGGCATGTATCACACAAGGGGAAACGTAAGAGGCTTTCTCACCTGCCAAGCCCTGAGCCATCTTTATCTAGTGCCCCAGGCTTGCATCCACAGAAGGGTGGGGCTTGTTTTGTGCTAAGATTCTTCTTGCCAGAGGGGGCTGCTTTCTCATACTCTGCGGGTAACATTGGTGAAGACCTGATCTTCCCTTGTCCCTCCCAAGGCTTCTTAATTGGTGAGGCTCTAACTTAAAGGGAAACACTTAATGTATAAGGCCAGGATAGAGAAACACAGAGTGGTACCCTTTGGGGATAGGTGGCCTGGCATGCCTTTGAGAGTTGGGGAGGTACCAGTGCCCATTGTTTATTCTAACACTTTTGTCTCTTTTACATGTCCTTCCTTATTTTCCCTTTGTTTCTAACAACAAACACTTTTCTGATTCTTCTTCCCTTCCCTGTCCCGCCCTGCCTCTTTTTATTTTTCCCCCATCCCTCTCTTCTTATTCTACCCTCTGCCCCTGGGGTCACGGAAACCTCCTTTTTAGACCACCAAGTTTTTATTTATGTCGATAACTACAGGGCAGCAACACACTGCAGAAAGTGAGCGGCAGTGAGCGTCGAGCGCCGCCCCACTCCCCACCAGCTGCCACAAATACCATCCACCCTGTTCGTGCCGCTGCGCTTGGCTGTCCCAGGTAAGTGGTGCCTTACCTGCCCTTCTGGGTGGTATCCCTTGGTGTATCTCAGTAGTGATTTTGGCCATGCAGTTTGAATGGGTTGTCATACCAGTTTTTTTAAGGCAGCTTTCTCCCTGACTCTGCCCTTCTGTATGTGCTGGACTACAGTTCTCATTATCCCAGCCAGTTTGATCCGTGGCTGGCTAGGTTTGTGGGGATTGTATCCACATAGGGGACATCCAGTTTGGGGGTGGGGGGGATTCTTATATCTTTCACCATTTTTCTCCAGTAAAGGTACAGTAAAGAGAGCAGGGGTAGGCCAGCTGCCTACCTGGCTGGGATAATTTGTTTGTTTATGATATTTATAGCCATACGGCGACTCAAGGCCGGTTACAGATTGGCACAATTTGATGTCAGGCATTCATAAATTGCCATTAAAACAATATTACAATATAAAACATAAATCAAAACCGTTAAAACATATAATCATCGGTGTCATCTTGTTAAAAACGTTATCCAGTAACATTGTCTGGCCATTCCATGTTCATCATTCATAGTTCCGTGTTATCTATTCTGCTGCATTCTCAAAAGCTTGCTCAAAGAGCCAGGTCTTTACTTTTTTTCAGAAAGTCAGGAGGGAGGGAGCTGATCTAATATCCCTGGGGAGGGAGTTCCTTAGATACACAGATAATTTACCTCATGTAATTTAAAAGGTTTATGGAATGCTTCAGTAGCTTCAACTACTATGCTAACGCACAGATTGAATGAAAAGATGGTGCTTGAAGTTCTACTTTTGTGAGCATGAGCACTTTTTTAAACACCTGGCACCTTTTTTTTGTTCAGTTTGTCCTGTACAGTAACAGCAGACCTTGCTGCTATCTCCTTGTTTTCTTCCTTCTCCAATGCCAAAGAGGGGTGTTTGACTGCACCTAAGTTCCCTTGGGAGAATTTAGAAGCAGATTTCGACAGAGCAAATGAAGTCCCAGCTCGTTCTGCCTAGGAGCGCATATAATTTGGAGAAAAGAAGAGGAAAGGTGGGGTGAGGGGGAGGGAGGGGTGTAGAGCAGGTGCTTCGTGTGAACTATTTGTTCCCTGTTACTCTGGAAAGCAGAGGACAATTGAGATGAAAGCAAAAGCTTGATTGCAAGAAGGTCGACTTCTCACTACCACCTCCTTTGACTCCCCTTTCCCCTGATGTTGCCGTTGCTGTTACTGTTGCTCTCTCTACATCCCTATTCCAAGCCATGGAGTAGGGAAACTGGGTGGGCTTTCCTTCTGCATTCCAGGCAATTCCTGCTTGAAACAGCATGCTGCATTTGCAAAAGTATGCACTGCCTGATGTGGACCATTCTTTGGGAAGTTGCTTTTGAGAATTTAGTGCACAATGTACAGGTACTCTTTGCATCCTCAACCACGATCTCCCCCCTTTAGGAGACAGGGAAGTCCAAGAAGCCTTTTTGCCAACTTTGCAAAAGCTCTTTACTATGGAGGGGGGCCAAAGAGCCTTCTGAATGAAACTCAGTGGTTTCTCCCCCCATTTTCCATGGTCTCCTCAGCAGAGCGAACCAGGACGCTGTGTGTACTCCTTTAAAACTGTTTCCAAACTTTCACAACAGCTTTCAGATGTGGCTGAATAAGGCACTGTTATTCAACAGATTAGGGACTGGAGCAATTAAGTTCTGCGTTTTAACTACTACTCTTTTTTGAGGGTCTCATCTGTCAAATATGCAGGGGGGACCTGGTAGAATTAAATAGGTTATTTTTTGTAAGAAATAGTATGCCAGGGTGTATGTTCAAGATTACAGATGTGTAGCCGAGAGGTATCTTGCAGGCATATAGGATATAAACAAGAAGTGCATTTCTCAGAAGTTTGTTACCCTGCATCCTCAAACAGAGATTCTTATGAACTGGTTACATTCTTCAGTTGTGTGTCTATCACCATGAGTATCAATAACTGAATTCAGTACTGAACAAACTCCGTAACAAGGACACAGAAATTCTCGCAATCCAGGAAGTTCCCTTTCTGTCCTAGGAAAGTATCCTTATTATTATTCCTGCATGTTTGTGCTATTTCCTAGCCATGAAATTAAGCCTAGATGTGGTGTGTAGCTGTGGTAGCGACACTAAGTCTTGGGATAGTGACACAGGCTATAGCTGGGCAATTGAAAAAGGAGAAAATGGTTTTTGTCCGGTCTGATGTCATGAACAACTGAGCCTCAAAGGTTTCAAATATTTCCCAGTCAGTGCATGGCTGTTATTTTTTTCCCCTTCTCTGTGACTTAAGGGACACTTGTCTTTTATCTTGGTGGGGATGCTGGTACTGACTCTTCTGTAAAACTGAAACTTCCATGATGTTTCATAGCTTCGGAATCTGTTACATTCTTAGCTTTATCTATATATGATTTTTGCAGGGTGCTCTCACCTACTTCCAAATCTTCAGCACCTCTGCAACTACCTGACAGCACCTTTGTCGACGTCCCACCCTCATCCAGCTTCAAACCACGCTGCCTCTCTGCTGCTGCCCCTTCGTCACCACCTGCTGTGCCCACACAGGCCCTGAGCCACGCCCACCCAGATAAGGGACCTTTCCTTAACAGCTCAAGGAAGATGAAAAGGAAGCATAGTACCCCAGGGGAAGAACAAGGTACTCATTGCGGCCCAAATGTGACTAACTTCAGTGCAGAGGGTACCCAGCTGCTCAGTCCTCCCAGGAAGAAGAGGCAGCTGAAGGAAAATGGCAGTGTTTTGTCCTCTTCTGTAAGGAAGAGTGACGTGGCAGCAGCCAAGAAGGAAAAAGAGGGGGAAACATATTTGGACGCCAGGTCACCAGATTCTGTTCGGAAGAAGAAGAAGAAAAGGCTTCATCAGAAGGATGAAGACTGCACACTACTACTGTCCACTGTGAACAGGTAGCCATTTTGCTTGTCTTAGTGCTGAAGTGTTGCCCAGTAACTAGATGTGAGAATGCCTACCAGTACCTTGAGTTCTCAGAGCTTTTTCTTCTTGCCAGGATGATGTAGAACTGGTATTCCCTGTAAAGCAGATAGGCACGAAGACTTCCTTGCAGGGCTAAGAGTCTGTTTTCACCCCATTCTCGGGTTGGAGAGGCAGTATTGCAGTGGTTCTCCACTTGTGGGTCCCCAGACATTTTGGCCTTTAACTCCCAGAAAGCCTAACTAACAGCTGGTAAACGTGCTGGGATTTTTGGGAGTTGTAGGCCAAAACACAGGGACTCACAGGTTGAGAACCACTGCGTATTGGCTTGGGCCTTCTATGTCAATGAAGGATGATTTTGTGCAGATATTTTACTTTGAAGGAGCTCCCCAAGGTGCTGAATCCCAAATGCTTCCAAATAGATTCAGCATCTTGAGTAATACTATTTTTCCTTTTTTTAAAATCTACTATCTATAGCTGCCCTTCACAGTGTGAGGGAGAAATATCGGGAGAGGAGCCCTGTGACATGAAGAAGAAAAAGAAGAAGAAAAAGAAGAAGAACCAGAACTTGTCAACAGGCTCAGACAAAGGCAGCTATGCTGAAGAGAGTGAGCATCGGAAGCACAAGAAGAGGGAGAGCCAGGGGGATCCGGTGCCTGTGGTGAGCAGCCCCCAAGAAAAACGACACAGGAATGGCATCTCAGCAAGACTTAGCCCTTCAGGTTGGAGATGTGGGATGATTGGTTGATCTTAAGCGGGAAGGGGGATCTGGTAATCCGTGTAATGATAATGTTAGTGGGCATTCATCTAATCCAGTGGTTGTGTTTTGCCTACAACTCCCAGAAATCCCAGCCAGTGTACCAGGATTTCTGGGAGTTGAAGGCCAAAGTCACCAGAACTACTGTCTGTTTATAGTCACCTCATTTTCAAAGGAAATCAAGTAACTTCCACATATTCATGCAAACCAACCAAGTGAACATTACGCCGATGCATAAATGTGATACTTCTCCAAGATCTCTGTTTTTATGCCTAAGCTCCATAATCTCTCCCTATTTGATTTGGGCAAACTGGACACCCATTTCTCATCTGTCATGGCTCATGTAGCTAATCAAACAAGGCTTCCATGGAAGGGCAGTACTCAATTTAAACAGATCTTTGTGGTTAATTTGGAAGTGAAGCCCCTTTAGTTACATGCAGCGTTTATTTTTTGGTGGATTTGCTGTTACGGAGACTAGTGGGAGAATTGGAAATGTTTTAAGGAATATATTGATTTCTTATGTTCATTTTGAAGGCATCAGTTGCATGCACCTTTCCCTGGAGAGTAATAAATGCATAATCCTTTCCTCCTTTCTGCTATCCATCAGCATGTCCTTGATGGACCCAATACAGATCCAGAAAGAGAAAAAGTTAGGCTTGCATATGCAACAATCCCATGAACTCTCCTCTTTCCACAGTAGCCTTGGCTTGTAGCAGCCAGCTTAGACATGAGGACAACTGCTCCTTCAACTTCCAGAGTCCAAAGAAGGAAGTGATTCAGCACAAGCATGGGCAGCCTGATGTACTCCAGGAGCTGCTGAAGGATTCCTTGGATAAGGCGTATGGAAAGCGAGGTATTTTGGGAGAAAGAAAGAGGGAATGATCAACAAGCAGGGTCTTCCCAACCTGGGGGAATGATGTGATTTCAAAAAAGCTTTCCATGGTCTGTTAAGAAGCATATGTCTCTGTGTTATTAGTACACATATGTTCCAACATGTCGGTAAAATCTGAATTTTGGGAGCAGATTGTAACAACAACAGTATACTGTAGGAAGAATATGAATAAAATGTGTAAAAATAAAACAAAATCAACGAACAAAACACATGAAATATATGCAAGTTTTGAAAGATCTACTGACTTCCTCAAGCAAAAGATGTTTTAGAAAACAAAGAGGAGAAATGAAAAAGGGGGGAAACGTGACGGTGTTAGAGTCCTAAGCCAGATGTATCAGATGTTGTCTCTGTTGTAGTTCATTTAGTCTGGCGGGATCTCAGTGCAAGTAGAAACCTCTCCCTTTTGGCCTTGTAAGTGCCGAAAGAAAGCCCAGTAAAACGTTAAGTCCAGAAAGTAACTCCCTTTGGTATCCAGGGTATCTCCTTGTCTTGTGAGACCCATTAGGCCAGTGGTTCTCAGCCTGTGGGTCCCCAGATGTTTTGGCCTTCAACTCCCAGAAATCCTAACAGCTGGTAAACTGGCTGGGATTTCTATGAGTTGTAGGCCAAAATACCTGGGGACCCACAGATTGAGAACCACTGTGCAGAAAGCATGGAATTTCACAAGAAGGATTGGAAAAACCTTCAGTGTTGCCTATCTATGGCTTCAACTTCCTAACCTCTCTTCTGGATATGAATTTTTGGGAGTCAGGGGTAGGTAGGGAGCTCAGCAAAGATGAAGGAGAACAGAATAACGGCTAGAACGAGAGTCGGGAGCATATGCCCCACCTGTTTTTTGAGGAGTGCAATATACTTGTCAACTGCTGAGTTGGCTCCTGTTTCTTTGAGTTTGGTGACATCTGAAGAGCCGCTCTTGCCTGCCCCTGATCTAGAAGAACAAAGTTTCCTACAGATTCCATAAGTTGCTAGAAGTAAACATGTTTGGGAGGTTTGTTGTTTTCTCTCTGTTTTCTCGCATGAGATGTGAAGCTCCAAGGCAGGAAAACAAATGACAGATCTTTGGTATTCTATAAATACTTTTTCAGTTGTATGCAAAAGAGCCTGAAAATATGCGGCTATCCTGTTTCCCTGTGTACATCTACTGTCCATGAAAGAAATGAGGCAAAGCCATATATTGGATACTGAAAAGGGATTCCACAATCCCGAGTAATTCAATACTGTTACCTTTCCTCTACAGTGCTGACGTGGGAAGGTGAAGTGTCTGCTGTCAGCCAGGATGCCATGCAAGATACTGCATGGTCCAGGAGCCAGACAGTTATGGACGAATGGGATGAAGAGTTTGACAGTGGGAAGGTATAGAGATACTAGTGGCAAGCCTAGCCATTGTTTTTAGTTACTCCTTTTGATTGATTTAAATCCTTAACCAGGCACAGCCTTCCATTGGGTATTATAATAGTAGACATATCTTGATCCGATGATAATTCCAGAGCCGGAAAACCCATGATAGCATTAATTGGAGCCTTTATTTTCTGGGACAGGAAAAAGAATTATCTACACAAAGTTTTTTTTTAATGTGAGAAGTGACTTGAGAAACTACAAGTCACTTCTGGTGTGAGAGAATTGGCTGTCTGCAAGGATGTTGTCTAGAGGATGCCTGGATGATTTACCATCCTGTGGGAGGCTTCTCTCATGTTGCGCATGGGAAGCTAGAGCTGACAGATGGGAGCTCACCCCATCTCACGGATTCGAACTGCTGACCTTCAGGTCAACAGTTCAGTCGGCACAAGGGTTTAATCCATTGCACCACCGCAGCTCTATGCAAAGTGAGTTATGCCCGTAGCCTCCAAAAGGTGAGGCAAGAAAGTCCCATGATGTCCAAGAGATAGGTCATTGGTCACTGCAAACTCTTTCCATTTTCTTCCTGCTTGCCTCCTCCTTTCGTGATCTTAACACCTGACCTTACCTATAGATTGCTTCTCTTACTCCTACCTTCTATTCCATTATTCCATTTGCCTTTTTATTCTCTTAACAAACAATTTTATCTACTCTGTCCAGCCTCTTTTTTTCAACTCACGGGGCATTGGAGAAGCTTTGACTAAGGCAGTGATTCCCAACCTGTGGGTTCCCAGGTGTTTTGTAGATTGCAAATCACAATTTCTATGTTCCGAGAATTTCTACATTGAATGTAACATGAGAACATTCAGTGTAGAAATTCTTGGAACATAGAAATTGTGATTTGCAATCTACAGTTTTTGTAATTGTTGTTATAGATATCTGTGCATGTTACACTCCCAGGTGTTTTGACCAACAACTCCAAGAAATCCCAGCCAGTTTACCAGCTGTCAGGATTTCTGGGAGTTGAAGGCCAAAACATCTGGGGACCCACAGGTTGAGCACCACTGAACTAGACAGAACAAATGTGTTGAGAAGTTGTTGTATTTGTTACCATACCTTTTGGTATCTTCTTCTTTTTTCTTTTTTTTTACAATAGTCACATGAGTCATGTTATTCTATACTATATTTTGGCATTTCCTTGCCCCAGCTGTCAAGTGCATCAGTGAAATTGCACTTTAGCACTATAGCTCAAAAAGAAAAGTAGAAAAATTCATTTGTGAAAAAACTTGCCATTAAACCTATAGAGGCACCACAGTCAACTACAGCCTGCCTGGAAAGAAAAATGTGTAGCATGGCTGTAGTCAAGTTCAGGAAGGTCCAATGAATTGCTTCTTTAAAAAAATGGAATGGGTAAATGCAGAGCAAACAACTAGTGGCAAAACCCAAGAACCAGTTGCGCAAAACCTCACATTTACTTGGAACAGACAAGATACAGAAATCGATTCGTTCCCTGTCCCCCTCCCCCCCCCCCCAAATTGCATATCTGCCTTACCAGCTATTTTCCATTCTGAGTTTTGAAGGGATGGTGTCTTCAGGATTAGAAATTGGACAAATGCCTATTTTTATCTTTATGACAGGTAAAGAAAATTAAGAAGCTCAAACGTGAGCGGAGAAAAAACTTCAATGCCTTCCAGAAATTGCAAAGCCGGCGTAACTTCTGGGCTGAGACACATCCAGCTAAATTGGCTAGCCTGAGCTATCGACTCTGAGATGGTGAGGAGTTACTAGAGGATAATCACATCCAGAGAAGGAGTGGGAATTGCAACATTGTGTTCTGGGAGCAGGCAGATGGATAAGGACTGCTTTAGAATAGGGGTGAGAATCTTACATTTTTCTAAAGGTTGCTGTACCTCAATTCCCGTCATCATTATTGGTAAATAATCCTGAGAGTTTATATCCAACAATATAGGAAGGGCCTCAGAAATCCCACTGTGTTTTAAAATGTGTATGCTTGCCTCATTGTAGTTAAAGTTACCTTTAAGGTCATTAACTACATTTATTTTGCATTGTGCATCCCAATAGTTGGTTGCTTTTAAAAATTGCAGCTGGAATTGGTGCTGCGTTGCAGCTGCGTTGATGTAGGTTTTCAGGCTGTCTGGCCATGTTCCAGAAGCATTCTCTCCTGACGTTTCGCCTTCATCTATGGGAGGCGTCCTCAGAGGTTGTGAGGTCTATTGGTAACTAGGCAAGTGATGTTTATGTATCTGTGAAATGGCCAGGGTGGGAGAAAGAACTCTTGTCAGAGGTAGGTGTGAATGTTTCAATTGGCCACCTTGATTAGCATTTAATGGCCTAGCAGTTTCAAGGTCTGGCTTCTTACTGCCTGGGGGAATCTTTTGTTGAGGGGTGATTAGCTGTCCCTGATTGTTTCTTGTCTGGAGTTCCCCTGTTTTTTTAATGTTGTTCTTTAGTTAATGTTATTTTAGAGTTTTTTTAAAATACTTTAATACTTGTAGCCAGATTTTGCTTATTTTCGTGCTTTCCTCCTTTCTGTTGAAATTGTCCTCATGCTTGTGGATTTCAATGGCTTCTCTGTGTAGCCTGACATGGTGGTTGTTAGAGTGGTCCAGCATTTCTGTGTTCTCCAATAATATGCTGTATGGCCATGTTTCAGAAGCATTCTCTCCTGTAATGGTAACTTGTTGCTTTATTGTTTCTCAAAACTAACTTCAATTGTTGCTTTTAATCTGATTCCTGTGGTACTTATCTGTTGCAGATCTCAACCCCACAGATGAGTCCGTGCCTGCAGCCATGCTGTGGCAGTTCCTGTATCTTGGCGTTGCTACTGACCAGCACTGAAATGCCAATTGTTGCAGGCTACCAACTATTTATGGAATTTGCAGGGAAAGTCCTCCTCTTGACCCAAATGGGACACTGCCATTTCAGAGGGCTCTTGGTGGATCTTCTGTGCATCTTCTAAGGGAAAGCAGGAGCACTGCAAGAAACGAAACCCATGCCTGGGGAAGGCACCATCCCAGCAAGGCAGTGGAGGCACTTGGTATAGAGCAAGAGTGGGTCCAGGAGTGAATAGCCTCCTGGGATGAAAGTCACCTTGACCTCCACAAGGCCTTCACCTCCACACGAGACCTAGGCCTGATGAGCTACGCTGCCCTTCCAGAAGATGAAGAAAGCCAAGATCTGTGTCTTAACTTCTGAGAGGTGGACACTGTATTGCATGAAGTGACATATGCCCCTTTCTCTGCTGTCCAGATATGTCATAATAACAGGGTAGCTTTTGTGGCTTTTCTTCAGCCACATGCGACCATAGTTTCTCCCTGTCCAGTGAGCATAGAATACTCCTCAACAGATAATATTCTACTAAATAATCCTCCATATCCCATTTCTACACATTCTGTACAGCAAAAGAAGAACTGGTAGTGGTGCTAGTCTGCTTTGTACAATTGGGAGTCCTCCAATTTTTTTGTAATGAAAAAAAAAAACCATTGGGCCCTCAAAAGGTGAAGCTTAGCCATACATTCTCAGTAGCATTCACTAAGTCACCGTGCACTGAGGTGGTGATGTTTCCATTGCTGGAGTCTTACCACTTTAGACTTGACAGGTGTGGAATTGAGTACTTGAATGTTCCCACCACTTTTTGAAGGGGAAAAAAAGATCCTGATACATGTTAAGCTAGGAGTTTGCAAACTGAATCTTTCTTGGATCTGCTGTCTTACTCATTGTGCTGCTGTGCTTCTTACTGGAGTCATGGCACCGTTTGTTTGAAATCATGACTCGTAGAAGATCTGACATCATAGCTTGTTTTTGTTATTAAGAATAGGCTGCTTGAAATCTTGTTGTGTTGTCCACAAGTTAAAGCAGACTTTCCTATTGGCAAAATGTAGATGATCCAAATTGTCTGTGCCATCCTTTTCCCTAGTACCTGTCAAGCCAAAAGTGGGGTGGAAGAACTCCTGTTTTAATACTGCTGGCAGATGTGTTTAATTCCTTCGTATGTGCTGAAGTCTAACAGCTTTCTCTAATCTGGCACCTTCCAGGACTGTTGGACCACAGTGCCCATCTTCCTCAGGGATGATAGGACTTATCAATCCAACACATCTGGAGGGCCCCAACTTGGAAAGGTTGAGCTATGAGTTACTTCTGGGCAGGCTGTCCTTTACCTGTAACTTCCCAAACATGCATGATCAATTTGAGGGGTATCTATGTACATCCCATTTATTCTTGAAACAGCTGCATCTCATTCATGTTGCTTATTTCAACATTGGCACCCATTTTTTGCTATACTCTGTGGGTGCAAAGGTTGAAAACCTGCTTAATTCCTTCTGCTGTGTAACACAGCGATGGCCATTGCATTTACTTTGAACTGACAATTTCCCCCCTTGGGGAGGGGGCACGTAAGACTCTTCACTCTCGTCGGGGAGCATTTTCTCTCCCTCTGGCAGTGCCCGTTCTGCAGTTTCCTGCCAACATGTAGAGACCCTGAACATGGGTACACTTTGCACCTCATGCCGGGGCTTACTGCAGTAGCCCTCGTTGTAGCAACGATTCGTGGTGCAATAAAGGAATGCTTTGTCTATGTCTCCTGTTTATTCAGGCTGTCAATTACAGTCATTTGTGGGTGAGTAAGAAAGATGGTGGGGTACTCAATTCTGAATGGCACCCTGCCCACCTGTAATGAAAGATCGCAATACTCTGCTGAAATTACTGTTTGCTACACTGAAAAAGGTAAGTGTTCTCAGCCAGGGTTTACCTATAATGGGTATTGCTATATTCTAATACGGGATGGAGATGGCATCTGACATTTTAATAGAATTTCTGTTGTACTTCCTGCTCTTGTCTTTAGCCTGTGAAGTCTTTTCTAAGATCACCTCCCTCCCACCCACACCCAATTTATGAGGGTTATCCGGAAAGTAAAGTTACAAGATTTTTTAAAAATAGAAAGAATGAATGTATTTTAATAAAACTTACCTGGATTGTAGCATAGGTATTACATTACGTTTCCACATAATCACCATTCAGTTCAATGCATTTTGTCATCTGTGGGATGAATTTTTGATGCCTGTGCATAGAGGGTTTCCTCCGCCTTTTTGGTCCACTTTGTCACTTCGATTTTCACCTCGTCATTAGAAAAGTGTTTTCCACCAAGGTGTTCCTTCAATTTAGTGAACAGATGATAGTCACTGGGTACAAGATAGGGGCTATGAGGGGTGGCTTAAAACATCCCAACCAAATGAAGTCAACAACAATTCTGCTGCATGAGTGGTGTGCAGACGCATTGTCATGAAGGAAACAGACTCCTGCCATCAGCATCCCACGATGTTTGTTTTGGATGGCTCTGCGAAGTTTCTTCATGGTCTCATAATATATTCCATACCCACTTTGTCACATGCTGTCTTGGCATTACATCTCCATAAACTGAAACAATTTCACGATGTCTTAGTGGTGTTCATGACCTTGGCATTTAGGTTGTGTATTACACTTGGATGGAAATGGAATGAGGATGCTTATCTCTAACCTTCACAACACCAGTCGATGAGCTACTGATGACTTGCACTGCTCGTTCGCTTCTGGCTTCCCGCTACATGGAAGTGATACCAACTTCCACAAAAATTACGAGAGCTACATACCTTGCAACCTTTCCAGATAACCCTTGTAGTTGGAAATACATCTTGCCTTGTCCCTTTCATCTTCCACACCTTTTGTGCTATCCAAATTCCTCTATATCTTGGCGCCAACATGCATTTTTGGTATGTATGGCCATGGTTGCAGGTGCTATATTTAGAGGAAGGCAGTGGCAAATCTGAATGGATTCAAGAAAACCTTATCACATAGTTATAAACCAACTGGAAGGCACATAAATATAAATGTGTGGCTGTTGCATGCAATGCAATACAGGGAGAGAACCAACCCTGCCCCTGGCAATGTTGAGACTGCAGTGGAAACTTGGTCAGTGTTTTATGAACACTCCACTGTTCAGTCAGTTTTTCCTAGCTGGGCCTAACAACTGTGTGAAGATCTTGGTCTGTAATGGGGTGAATGCTCTTCATGAAGAATGTGCTGCTTGAGACTGCTGAGAGTGTATTCCAACATCCAAAGAACTGTATGATTCCCACCTACTTGCCATATATGTAAACTCAAAGCTCAGGAAGGAACAGGTAATTTGGGGGCAGACTAAGGTGCATTATGAAAGGTTGAATTTCATCACCTCAAAACTTAGGAAACAATTCAATTAAATCATATTTTGGTAATTTACTACCTCTTATGTTGTATCTGGGTCTTGGACCCATGTGCAATAAATAGTTTTTATATAGTTTTAGCCCAAGTGTTCTTACTCTGTTGGCTTCAAATGCCTCTCTTTCACCCATGCAATTCTTCATCTACCCCCTCTTGCTGACAATTTCATGTGCACAGGTGTACAGATCAAATGCTTTTCGTTGGTTTCTCCTCAAGCATGTACATAATGTACAATGCTGCTTTGCGGTGCTTCCCTAAAGTGAGTTCTTTCTTCCTCCCACCTCCTGCTTACTTACATCCAATTTTAGTTTCCTTTCTAAATGTATGCTTGTGCTCATATCAACAGGATCTAAGACAGGGTACAGACAACAGGGGAGGGAACGCTAAACCATATCACAATTTTTAAATCAATTATTTTGTCCCATTAATAGTAAAGATTATTTCAAGTCAGTGTGAAAATAGAGGCTTTTGGTACTGGAAAGAAGCAACAATTGAGTGGGAATGTATGGCCAGTCTCGGGGTAATAATTGTCCTTGATAATTATTCTCAGTTAACAAAACTGATAAAGGCTCCTTTTTATGGGAGCACAGCCTGGCATTCCCCTTTTCTTGTCTATGGGGGGCGGGGGGTTCTGGGCAACATTGGGGTGGTGAAGGAAGGCTTGAAAAAGACAGGCCTCGAGTGTTGGGTTGCAGCTACATGTTTGCAGTAAGCAATGCAATGAGGTTTGGCTTGGGAAGTTGTGAGATCCTATTCTTGGTGATCCTCCTGTAGCTCTGTGTGCTTATATACAACAGGCAAGTTAAGAAATGCCTCTAGAATCTGTGTGAAGAGCAAAATGAAAGGGATAAACAGATTAAGCTGCCTCCTCCGTTACCCTGAAAAAGCATGGATTAAAGGAAATAAAAGGTGAAGGCTGTGCAAAGGATGCATTCTGGGGAAAAAATCAAGTGGTCTGTAAAAATTCAATATGTTTTATTTGATGTCCGGCTTATTTGACATAGTTGTTTTATTTTGCATGTGTATATTGTTAGTTTTTGATAAAAAGCTGGCTGAAACATATTGAACTGTTCTTGTTTGATGGTACAGGAACCTATCCTCATTCTTTCCATATTATTTCATTATTTGCTACCAAGATTTCTGTGAAAGAAGTAAAGTAGAGGAACACATCTATTTTGTTCACTTAGGTATAGCTTTACAATGCTAAGCACTGCTGCTAGCCTGTCTGAAGGTGTCTAAAATGCAATTGACTGTTGAATAACAACAGCAAACTGCCACTCCCTACTTCAGAAGGGGGCGGGGGTGGTGGTGGAAGTATTTCCTTTGTGGATTCCAGTAAGAAGCAAAAGTGAAAATATAATCCATGCCAACATCTGAAATACTGTTATTCAGAGCTGAGGGTTGGGCACACAAACAGAAGGGGAGTGTGTAAAAGGTTTAAAGGATTGCTATGAAGAAAGCAAAAAGCCCAGTGGAAGTTTGTGTTAATGAACAGTGGCATTATATGAGCAAGCATTGCAGCCTCCTGTGCCCTGCGAAATGGAGAGTTGACATTTTGCCTGCTGATCTGAGATAGCAGGAAAGGTTTGGCAAAGTGCTTTTGGCACGCTCTGGTGACAATTTCCTACATCATTACAGGAGATTTATTAGGCTTTGGAAGGATAATAGGTATAATGTCTGGCCTACCAGTGGAGGCAAGAAATTGTTAAGAACAACGCTTGAAGGACTGACTGTATTGTCCTACCTCAATAATTTAAGTATCCACCCTCTTTAGCTATTTCAGTGGCAAAAAAGTCTTGTCTCTCCAGTTTGGTCCTGTGTATATTTTAAAGAATAAATACCAACATATGTATGTGTAGTCGGGAACAGAGTTCCGATTTCTCTTCCATGAAAAATACAAAATGTCTACAAGACAGTCAAACATCATTACAGATATACCTCATGTAATAAAGTAGGCCCGTTATGGGCCTACTTTGAATAGAAAATTTGGTACCACAAGCAACAGGAGGATTTCCTGCACAAAAGAGAGCAATTCAAGATGTTTCATAAAACTTTTTATTCAAAATT